TCACATGGGAAATATTGCATTTTATTTTTATATTTATTATAGAACCTACATAATACATATATATCGAAATATATTATTGTAATTAACTTTCGTAACTCTTATCAATACGAAAATACCGACTTACCTTAGAATGGTATATGCATATTGAGAATAAGGTCCGTGGAAATACAGGTATAAAAGGCAATAGCAAACGATTAATCTAAATGTTTTTAAAATCTCAATGTGTAAGCAGTATACATAAAATACAATAAAATACTTAAAAGTTTCAATTCCTCATACATAAACATGTAATTATGTACCTACCCATTTGTGTATTTATTTTTAAATTTCAAATTCATACTGGTATATAATAATATAATTAAAACCTTAGTAGTTATATATTTACCACATGTCACATATTATACTTAATAGTATCTGTATACCTACCTATATAGATGTGTATATCTGCACACGAGTACCTATACCTATACCTATTAGTTATTACAGTACATAAAGGTATTATAATATTATAATAAATGTAAAATAATTATAATACCTAATGAGTATAATGGTCAATGGGTATTGATATAATTTAATATAACAATATAGCATTACTAAATTGGTAGGTAGCTATATTAATTACCTATATCAATTATAAATCCGTTACAAATCTATAAACATATTTCAGTCAATTAATGTAATCAAGTCGAAAAATACAATCTAAATTCTGAATAATAACCAGAAATTTGAAAAATCGTAACGACTAATGATAAATTATGTAAAGGAATATATATAATGATTGTTCATAACAAGATTTTAATGACAAGATATAAAAAATTAAAAACCACAGATCAGTTTGTTTTTTTAGATATTCATCCTATATATAGGTAGTGTGTCAGCGGATATCAAGCATGACGCCATGCAGACTATACCAAAGTCCATTACCTACATTAATGAATAATATTATAATCCACACCTAGCAGTTAGCACAATAATGTGTATTATATTATATTATATTACACTATTTATCTATTACCTATAGGCTATAATAACTGTGTACCTACAGTCTATTTTCTTATACTAAATAAAATTAATTAATTAATTAAACAAACAAACAAAAAGTTGTATTAAGCGGATGGTGTTATAATATAATATGCTCAAAAATGTAATCTTAATTTTTTTTAAATAAAATGTGACATAATATTTTGTTATAACTTATAAGCAAGTTTTAAATAAGGCAGCAAGTCGGACAAAAAGGTCTGGCGAGCCGCCAGTTGGCCATCACTGATTTAAGACAATATCTTCTCTAATCTCTAATACTTTAACCGTCTAAAATATACAGGACTGAGCCGCCATGCGTTTTCCCGGTTTTAGGCGTTGGTTAATGGTTATAATATGAGAAAACAAAAAACACAGTGGGAAGTGACTTAACATTTTTAATTACCCTGTTATAAATGAAAAGTAAATAATGTTATAATAACTTGTGTCTTGTATATAATTTTGGTACTAACTTCAAATTAAATAGATAACAATACTATACCATATCTTAAATGGGCTTCCGCCCGTCAAGTTTAAATAAATACATAAATAATGTTTATCCATACCTAAACAATTATTGTGATTTGAAAATTTTAAATGAATTTCTCCTTTACTTATCTATACGTGAGGGCATGAGGCTTTTGTTAATTAGAAATTTATTATAAAATAAATGGTAATTTTTACTCAGCTATTTAAGTCATAATAATTCATTATGAAATTTATTGATGCCACTTGTATTGTTATACCCTTACATTACGATTGTGTTCAATTAACATTTTCCTATTTCATTACATAAGTATATTTAAATGCAAACCACCAACAGGTTTATGATTGCTAAAATATTATGACACTGACGTATTATATGGCAATACGAATAAAATATAGGGATACTATTATAATATTACTATACCAAATTAACACCTTTTGATAAAAAGTTTTTAAAAATGTTTCGTTTGTACTTTGGGAGACCCTGAATAAGCCGAACTAGTTCCTGAAAATATCCCCCTTGTCTAATGAGCACACATGTATCATGTATGTACCCAATACGGAAATAGACCCTTGCCCTTCTGGTAATGATTTCACGGTCATTATATTTATATATATTATTTTGTCAAGACGAAGAAGATAATAATATAGACAATAAGTCATTTTAAACAAAAAGTATTGATTACGATAAACATTTTGTCAAAAAGAGATCTTCTTCTAAAAACATATTTTCGAATACAATTGTTATACTAATATTACTAACTTATCACATTATAGACTATAGTATTATTATATTATCACTTAAGATTAATAAATTAAAAGAATCATAATTTCATTACTTACATGGCTACATGTTATTATATTATTATAATATGGTATTATATTATAATAATCTGTTAAACGGATGTACGACCTTATAATGCGTAGGTATAAGTAGGTATAGTAGGTACTTTCAAAGCATATAACGGCATATTTAACGTACCTAATTATTGTCTAAATATATATAATATATTTTAATATTTGCAGTTTATGAGTGTATCTATAATTTATTTGAATACCGGAATATAAAATCTAAAACTCTAAAACCTATCTAATCTATAAATTATAATAGTATAGTTGTTATATTAAAATATATATTATATAGAATGACGAATTTATTCATTTTTCTATATTTCTAAAAACATTACCACCTACAACATTTAAAATTTGAATATTAGTTGCAAACAGACTTACGATATATTTATTATACACCACTGTAATTACATTACATATTATATTATATAATACGTAATATATTCTGTATATGACTGTTACACGGCAGACATATAGACAACTATCAATAATACCCACTATACCAGCTACACTCGGTTAGTTTCAGACAGGTCCCGAATTTTTAAAATATTATACTGTATTGACATGAGTTAATAGTTATATAATATAGCATAAGTTATTATATTAAGCTACATTAGTAGGTACGTACAATACTATTCTTAAGACAATACAAAATACTTAAAATAAAATAACACTTTAAATTTTTGAATTTCTTAATTAGATTACATCTTACATTTAAATACATTTTAATGTTGTAAATGTTGTAATGCACCCAATTGTACTTTATACGTTCGACGTCTGCAGACTGCAGTAATAATATAGTATAATTTTATACTAACCTACATATTGTCATATTGTACATGACTACATGAGTACCTGACGTATGATATTGTACATTTCTAAAAGTTTATTTGAATTGATTTTATTGAATTATATTGTTGACCAAAATTGTCGACTAAATTGTTGTTTAGAATATTTAAATTATTAGATTAAATAACTAAGTGCAATATTTATCGATGGAAAAACACATTTACCATTTACCAAGTATAGAGCCATCACTTGTGTAATAATTTCCATCAAGCGCATCGAATAGAATATATTATATTAATTATTAATTCATTATTGACAATTTGACACGATATTATGAAATTGTTTGCGTGTTTCATCTTATGAGTTGACACTTATTATCCATACATAAATGAATCTATAGATGGATTTTTCATTTCATAAGACGTTTGCATATTTCATTATTAAAAAAAAACTAAATACATTTATACATAATATTCAACAATTATTGTTGGTAAGTGGTAACAACTAACATCTAATCGAAAAAATGATAAGCAGCTAATCCAAAATCTTAAAAAAAAAATTTCCTGGCTAAATTTGGGAACCACTCCTGACACGGTTAGGTAATCACGGAAATAATTTCGCGATTAATCATGGAAACACCGGGGCGCAATGCACATCGCATTTATCATTTATCCGTAAAGCGTATCCCGGATCGGTCGCGCGGCCCCTGAAAGCAGGTACTTATCCGCCAGAAACCAGAACGGCGGGAGATACTCCAACTCTAGATGGCTGGGTTTGGGGGGGGGGGGTGGTGGTTGAGACTGTGTTCTACAGAAATAATAATAATCGTAGGTACACGTAGAGTATCCCACGTTGTTTCTGTTATTATGATTATACCATTATAAAATATAATAAAATATTTTTATTAATATTTTAGTCGTCGTCGTCGTACGAGAGAAACACACAAAACCCGAACCGAGCTAACGGCGGCAGTGCAATAGCCGACCAACCGGCGGCGGTAGCGAGCGACAGCCGACGAGCGTGGCGGCGTCGTCTTTCCCCTATGTTGCGGCGCACAAAGGACCCCGCGCGCGTTGTCTGCCCACCGACGATAACCGTCACTCCCACCAAACACGGCGGCGGCGGAGGTCATTTGATACGGTGTGTGTGTGTTTTGTCCCCTTCACCTCGCCGCCGCCGTTCGCGTTCCAACAGCACACCGCCGTCCGCCGTCACTGCCGCGACCGCACCGCCACCACCGCACCACCACCACCGGATTTTGGGGCCCCGACTCGGCCGCGCGTTCGTGTCGGTTGCCGCCGCCGCCGTCGTTTGCCCACCAGTGTTCCCGTCGTATCGAGCCGCTTATACCGCGGCGCAGCACAGATACACCGCATACACCTCACACACACGCGGGCGCGATAATAAACGTTCTTTTATAATAATAGTATACATGTTATGATATTATTAATTTATCGTTACGAAATACGAAAATCGTAAAATAATTTAATATTTCATTACAATATATACAATATATTATATAATTATATTGTATTCTCGCCCGACCGTATTTTTCGTTCCGTCTCTTGAATTCCCCGCCACTACTAGTCGACTACTCGACTCGTGTCAGTCAGCACACATTCAGACAGCGTTTTACTAGACGGTCTATAAAATACTTATTTTTCCTCACGAAATCTGCCTCCGTACTGCGGTAACAACGACAAATAAAATATTATGTGAACTTGGTGCGCAAGTCCAAGACTTGAAGAACAAGACAGACCAAGAGGAACCGTCGACTACCGATTTCAAACGGCCGACGTCGTTATACACACCAGCAACAGCCGCACTGCTCAGTCGTCCTACGAAAGTTAAGAAACATGGACACAGCTACGTTTTTCGTCGAAGGCACTGCCAATCAGTTCGAGCACGTACTCTCGCTGTACCCGCAAGCGTTGCGCATCAAAGCCGAGGCTAAGACGAAAAAGCCCGAAGACCTCATCAAGTTGGACAATTGGTGAGTGCCCCCCTCCCCCCCAGGGTACAATTTTCGGGGTTAAAATTTGATGTATTTAATTGTATTTATATTGTGTTACGTGTATTATACGTTTATAACTGTATAATAATAATATTTATAATGTGGTTTTTCACGCGCGTGCGTACGGTATAATATCATTTTGATTTTTGACTTGCGGTCTCTCGGCGGTCGTTTCGCAACGCGCTTATTTGACGCGCTCTGTATAACGTGCGGCGGCGGTCGGTTAGGTTGGCAAGGCGGTCGGTCGGTCGGTCGGTCGCCCCGCCGCCGCCGCGTACGGCGTACCCAATCGAGGCCGTGATGACGTTAACGATTTCTTTGTGGAGAAAACGCGCACCGTTGCGCGTTATGTGCGTACTTCGTACGACGCACAGTTCTGTATAAAACATAATAATAGTAATAATAATAATGCAATACAGATGTGTAAGCGTTCGACGATTCGATTATTGCACAGTAATACTTAAATAACGATCTCCTCTATTACTCTTAAACATTTTTGTCGTGCACCACCTCGTGCCTACGACAATCGATGCCATTCATCATCCCCACGGACGACGGTTGTCTCGTCACCGGTCCGGGTCGTGTTTTTTGACTCGGCGCGGTGTGTAATATTCGTATATAAAAAACCTAAGATATGATAATGACTCTGTACAGGACGCTCGCCGCGTCAACGGTCGACAACATGTTTTCGTCTGCACACACGATTCGCGCATACTATTTATACATACCTTGGCGATGTTATATAATATATTAATATGATTTCTGTTCGAATCGATATTTGTAATCGTACAAAATATGTCTACTCTGGGCAAATGTACGTACAAACAGTTTAAACTACTGAACAGCAAAATTTGTAAAAATAAATAAAATGGTAATCCGTTGTTTAAACTACACCGCGATAACATGTAATGCAGACAACTGCAGCTAATTTTAACCGATGCAACAAACCCCAACGAGATTATTTATATTTATTTAACTCGCATTCCTGATTATTTTTTAAATCCATCAAATGTGGATTACACATTTTCGTTTTTTGAATACTGTGACTAAATAATTAATAATATAATATTATTATCAATGGACAGTGATAAGAAATAAATGTATTTGTACTGATAATCAGTCAATTAACCAAATTCATTCATTGTTTTTGAGATAAGAAACATTTCATTTCAATAACAATAAACGAATAAACTGTGGTTCTTATGAAATTATTTACGAAATATTGTAAAATCAGTATGATATAAATAATAATAATTATTATTATTGTTTGGATATACCTATAGCCTATTGGTACTAAGTATGTAATAAGTACTGTGCTATAATACCAGAAACCAGAAAATATATATAAAAATAAAATTAAAATAAAAACATTATTAAATATTATATATATTCATGTAAATGCAAGACATTCAAATTCAGAACATATAATTTTGTTTTAATTTTAAATCGTAATTAATGTTTTAGAACAAACATTAGATAACAATCGATGTTATATAATTAATTTATAGATACAGTATAGCCTAAATATTTAAACCTTCCCTCATTAAAGAAACCTAAATATCTAAATACCTAAATATTGAATTATAGTTAATACTAAAAGATATTTTTTTACATAAAAAAATTATCATCAGTTAGTTCATTTTGTCTCTTATTTTGTATAGATTAGTTTCTAGTAATTTAAACAGTAGTTTGTCTTAAAAATTCTCTATTTAACTTTTAATATTGTTCTTTTGTAGGTATCAGAATGAATTACCAGGAAAAATCAAGTCAAGGGGAAAAGATGCACATTTAAATCATGAAGAAATTTGCCAAATAATGAAATGGAAACAAACAGTAAACTTTAACTTTTTTTTTGTAAAATATTGATTGAATAATTACTTAAAATAATTTTCTATTGCAGAGAGGAAAAACATTCCCTCAATTGAATTACTTAATTAAAGTGAACACACCACGTGCTGTTATGGCTGAGACAAAGAAAGCTTTCAAAAAATTACCCAATTTAGGACTTGCACTTACGGCATTAAGTAATTTGAAAGGTGTTGGAACCACAATGGCCTCAGGTATGCCTAAATACTTTTAAATAATTTAATTATTTGAATGGAATTATAATTTGATTTTAATATTTAATATTATTATTATTTTTTTTAGCTTTGTTAGCAGCAGCTGCACCAGACAAAGCTCCTTTTATGGCTGACGAATGTCTTAAAGCAATTCCAGCTATTGAAGGGATTGATTATACTGCTAAAGAATATTTGAACTTTGTAGCCCATATTCAGCAAACAGTGGAAAGACTTAATGGCGAATGTAAGTATAAAATCTTACCTATAAATTTAAATAGTTTATATTTCTTAAACTACCTTTGTTAAATTGTTATGTCATTATTGTGTTATAGGTAGTGAAAATACATGGAATCCACATTCAGTAGAATTAGCATTGTGGACACATTATGTGGCAAATGAATTCAAACCTGAACTTTTAAGTAGTGTTCCAGAACCAATTAAGAAGCCAATAATTAGTGAACCAACAAATACCGATACTCATATTAATGGCAGTGTTAAACAAACAGAGGTTTTTATTATTTTGTTATTTCAGTACTCATTTATATTTGTTTATTTAATATATTTATATTTTATTACAGTTGGATGAACCAACATCTGATGAAAGCAATCCTGAGCCATTACCACCGTCCAATGGTCACCAATTAACAATTGAAGATGATTCTCGTGACAAGTCTGAAGATGATATCACCAATGACTCTATAACGACATCAGAATCAGCTCAAACACCACTTGCTGAAGCTTTAACAGAGGACTCATCTAGTCTGCCTGCCCCCGATGAACCCCCTGTAAAAAAATTCAAAACTGAAGGTCAGACAGTGGCTGCAGAAGCCAATGGAAACTAAATTGGTTAAATGGTTTTAAAAAGCCTAATGGACCACCATAAGTTTATAATTTTAGTGACAAGTTAATATTGGAGAAAATATTGTTTGAAACAAAATAAATTGATAAAAAAAAACTCCATATTTATCAGACTTAATGATGTAATTATAACTTACAGTTATACAATTTGATTTACGTATAAAATATTTCACCATTTTTAAGTGGACTACATTTTAATTTATTTTAACTCGTACATAAAAACTCGTAAATATATTTTTTTTATACTTAGATTTTATACAACAAAATAAATTAAGTCTGTAATATTCTAATTTGTTTTATTCAACTTAGTAATTTCATGATTGAAATATTTGACTGTAAATACAATTAATTATAATTATAAATGTTTAAGATTTACGGGATAGAGGGATGTCTGAATATTATGAAATAATAATAAAAGTGCACCTTAGGAAGTAATTTTTTCCAAGAATTGTCATAATTCAATGAAAATTTTGATTTATTCGGGGGGGTCAAGGGAAACTTGCATTCAAGAACATAAACACCATTATAAGTATATACATATATTTATAATGGACATATTATTATGTATATAAATATGTAGTATTAATGTATCGGATCTGCACCATTTTTATTGAAATAAATTAACAACAATGTTAATTTATGTACTTAAATAAGAAAACTGCCTTTTAGCAATTTTTTATGTTTTATTTACTTCTATATATTTTTTTTCATGGTACAAACAATTATTTACATTCCGTTAAATTGAAACTATATATATTTTTTTTTTACTGTAGACTTGGGGAAAATCACTAATGATAATAATTGTATCTGTATGATTTTTTTTAGTAACATGTAACATTTTTACTTTTAATGTAAAATCTTATAGTTTTTGGTATTTTTTTGTTTTAAAAAACGGTACATTATTAATATATTAAATATTATTTATAACGCAGCATGATTATTTTGTGTGTATGTATGCATATAGCATATATATGCATATATTCCAGTAAGTTTGTCTTAACATAAATAAACTATGTAATACATAAACATAATTTGCCTTTATGATTGGTAATTTCAATATTACCTTTGATGTATTAACCTAATTGAAGTCTAATCGATTGGTTTATCATAACTTAATAGAGCTGATCTACAAAATACTCTGTTTATTATTGTTATAACACTTATTAATATCAGAAATTATGTTTTACGGTAAGTTGGTATTGAGTATGGCCTCATAAATAAATAACAATAAAATATGATGTAAATAATATATCTATTATAATAATTAATAAATACAATGTTTTCGGAATAAACTAATTTTTTCTAACATAATATGCCAATGGCAATATAAATATAATATAATAAAATATATTTAGTAATATAGGCTCACTCTGTTTAGAATCGGTATTTTTTATGCAATGATTGAATTCCAATTTAACAAATTCATTACCACAGTTACCTACTCACTTGACACATGCAACTGTATAGCAAAGTGGTTACCTACTTCCCCATTTTTTTTTTTTTTTACTTTTTCAGTTCTGCATTTTAGTTTATTATTTACTATATAGCTATATTATACAAATGCAATATGGATGATTTTAAAATGATAGTGATTATCTGGAAATGATTGATAGTCGTCATGATGTAGTGGTTGTGTTACAACTCTATAAGAAGATGTCGATATATATCGTATACACTGTTACTGGAAAATAAGTCACCTATGTACAATTTATTTTAGGTATTCACTTTATTATAACATGATAGATTACTGGAAATTGTAGCTACAATAATGGTAAAAATATAATAATACTGTTATTAAGTATTTAAGTAGGTACTACTATAACATGTCATAATAATATGGTAACTAATGCAAATGCAACTTTTACATACCACATTTACTTTTAGACTGCTCCCATAGATAATAATCTGAAGAAATTGTCCATGATTTGGCAAGAGGTAAATTTTTTATTTCACCATTACTCCTGTTCATAGGCTCAATTTGGGTTAAATTTATGGGGGTGTTAGATTTATATCGACTAAAGTGGTAAATGGGAGCTTTTCCCCCACACCCCCCTCAATTCATACAACTTAATAGTATACACCTTCACAATTATCTTAACACAAACAATTACCTATAACATAATAGGTACACTTTTACCTATATTATTATTCTGATACCCATGTATCATTATTATTATGAAAATGATAAGGTCTTTGAAATAAATGTATCCAAAACCCTATGGCATAATTTTATAGTCAATAAAAATTCGATGACGCTATCAAAGATTTGGGGGTGCTATTATGAATTGCGCCTATGCTCCTGTTTGATTTTAAAAGCAGCTCAACGAGTCTGTTGTTGACAAAAAACATGACCATTTTTATAATTTTTAGGAAATTTAATATTGTGTGGGAAGTAGGTGTAGGTACTAATCAGTAATCACTTAGGGGCAGTGGCGTAGACATGATTCCTGAAAGGGGGGGATCTAAAAAAGAAAACAGCTAAATGGGAGGGGAAAATTGGAAAATCCCCCATCCTCTCAAAACTTTTTACTTGGGTAGTAAAATATTGAACAATAAGGAACAATGAATATAACATGAATAGATTCAAAATTCACATCAAACACAATATGGAAGATTATCCACTCCAAAGCCATTGGGAGGGGATCTGACCCCCGTCCCCCTTATATACGCCACTGCTAGGGGTGTCATTTGGAATAAAATCATGGGAGAGCAAGCCTCTTGAATAATATTTTCTAATTAAATTGCATATTGTGGTTTAATGAAGCACGGGAGCAATCGGTGGAGCAATCTTTGAAATTTGTTAGGTGTTAAGTTAAGTGTTCAATATACGTAATTATATACGCCTTCATTATTATTATCGTCTCTTAAGAGGATGTCACACCCGCATGTGTTGTATCCGTACAACATAGAAAAAACTGCTTTGCCCGGGACAACTTTTCTCCCACCATATTTGTTGTAGAACTTCTAAATTTTAACAACACATAAAGAAGCACTTCATCTGTGCTTTTTTTTTTATACCACTATGCAATCATTTTTTATAAGCAAATGAAAAACAAAATGTTAGAACAAATAACTTTTTTATTGTATTTATGTTATCTAAAATATGGGTAAGCTGTTGCAAAGATAATTTTCCTCCGTAAATGTTCAGAATTTTTGGAGCTACCACTACAAACACAGAAAGATAAAAGTTGTCCCGTGCAAAACAGTTTTTGCTGTGTTGTACATTTGTTAGACGGAGTCACGGAGACAACACATGCGGGTGTGATATCCATTATTATTATAAGACAAAAGTGTTAAGGGGTGCCATCGAAAATGGTTAGTTAGAGTAGAGTTTACTTTACATTATCAAAATATGTATCTTCTCCGAAACAGGTTACTCCGTTCATATGCGCAACTAGACCAATATTCTTCAGGCCCGGCTCAAGGGGTAGGCACATAAGCAGAACTTTAGTAAGAGGGCGGCATTTTCAAAATACTGATAATATTATATTATTAGGGGCAGCAAAATTTGATTTCGCCTAGTTCACTATTTTCGCTTGAGCCGGTCCTGTTAGGGCTGCACATATTTTAAAGATTTCCAGATTTCCTGTATCATTTCTCCTTAACACTGTATATCTATTAACAATAATGTCAAATTTGTGAAACAGTAACAGTAGGTAAATAATAAATTTTGACTGCTATATAACTTTTCGGCCAGTAAATACTAAATTGTATTTATTTAAATTACTGCTAGTTCAGACTTCTGAGTTCTGGGCGACGTGGTCCACCTCTCCTATCTCAATATTATACCCTAATCAATAATGCCATTACAATTATTTTTATTAAATAGGTACTTTTTAACTCTGACTGATTTGAACCAGAATTAGAATAGCCTTAAATAGGAAGACCTAGATTGTTAATTTCTTGTTAAGTTGTTTTTTTTTTTAAATACCTACTATATGTACTATGGTCGTAAATAGGAGGAGGCGAGCAGCTATACCTACTTGGTATTAATTTTTTGTATCGTGTATTGGCCACAAACACAAAATAAACAAATATAAACTAACAAGTTATTCATATTTATTCATATTTTTTTTTTCTTATACGCGGGATAGCCGTTTACTTAACGGCATACTTCTTTGCAACGGATTAACCGATCTGAACCAAACTTGGCACGGTGATAGTGTGGACTGAGTGACAACAAGTGGTTTTGATCGATGTCCGACCTACCATCGAGGAATAATCACCGAAAAACTAAATTTAAACTAATTTTGATACCATAATTTTGTTTTCATAGAAACATAGATCAATAATTAAATTTCACAACAAATATACTTGAAACATGCCTCGATTAAGAAAATAAAATCCATGTCATTCAAAAAACAAGTTCAATTAGCTTCGGTGTGTTTAACTCGCTCAGCTCAATTTCTTGCAATCAGCGAATCGCATTGCAGTCCTAGTAATAAATAGGTAATAGATAATATGCTGGCTCAATAGTATGCTGCCTAATTATTAATTTTCTTATTAATGTTATTACTGTTTTAATTTTGTTCAAAATACATTTGTACTATATAATGCATCAGTTTTTACTTTTGTTAATAATATTTATATTTTTCCAATTACTGTTATCATTTTTATTTTCTAAAAGCTTTCATATATTCTTTTTATATTTTTTTTAAGTTTCTTTTCGTTTGTAAAGTATAAGTTCTTTTTATTTTCAACATAAAACAATTACACTTTTTAGATTCATAGACGCACGCACATAAACAATGAATGCAATTATTAACGAAGGATTATTATATCTCTCAGGACACATGCCCACATAAATCTGAAGACTGAAAATCTTTATGCACCTACAATGTTTCATCCCACGTCAAGTTTTATTAAGTCCAAGTGACGATAAGGAATTATTTTGATATAAGTCTTGGTCGGCGCATAAGTAAGCTAAACTATAGATGCCTTATATACCTAAATCAAGTAAGATGATTTTATGTATTAAGTATTTTGTAAAATGTATTTATTTAATATTGTCGTCCTCTCACCAATTCATCTCCACACCAAACCCATCACTCACTATCGCCGGCTGGCGTCACATACACAAAATCAACACTAAGTTCCAGGACCGTAAAAAAATGTTTATGAATGAGTTTCACGGCATTTAAAACAGGTTAAAGAGATCCAATAGGAATAGTGAGTAGTAGGAGACTTAGGACTTTGATAATCTCTAAATAATAATAAATAAATAATAATATATATATAGGTATATAAATGTATTATAGAAATTTAAAATATGATAAATATAATAATAATAGTAATAATAAATAATAATATAGTTAGTTATAACTTATAGTTAAAATATTAGGACAGTGAGGAATCTTAAATAAAAATCGGAGGGGGGATATCATCCTAATAATTTAAAACTACTGTATTTTTACTGCTTTTGGACTTGTAATGCTATAATGTGAGTACCTATGTGGCAAATATACATCCCTCGGCACCAGCAGCCTAGCTCGCCTTTCCAGAAGCTGAAACACATTAAAATTCAACGCTATTATAGGCTATAGCACAGATTAAATGAAAAATTTCATTGAAACTAAAATTTCACAAAATTAAATATTTGAAATTAAAACCTATTCAAAGTTAAATTTAATGTTTGATTATTTATATTAAAATATGTTTAATCGAAATATAAATAACGAAAAATGTTAAACAATAGTAGTGCAGTTTTCGCAGTAGGTACCGATCTATGTATAAATTACAATATTATTGTTGTAGTCGACCGGCGTTCGTGTCTTCTCGTTTGCGATGTGGATTAGGCCTAGAGCGGACACCACAATAAAAAAAACGCTCCACGTGTAAAATACCTAGTGCTTTTAATTTTTAAACAAGATGGACGATGTGATATAATATGTCGTTTAACAAGCATAGGTGGTGTGGAAACTTACTCGATGCTTCAGATATCCTATAGACAGGTAAATCGAGTTTTATTATGAGATAAATCCATCTATAGGTTTTTTTGGTTAACCAAGAGTCTCGAGCCACTTCCAAGTATATGGGCTGCGATCAAAACTTTTGCTCCATTATATTGAAAACTGAAATTACGCCAATGACCCACTTTGTGCCAATTCACTATACGTACTGACTCTGACTGTATAATTGACTTAGAAGTTATAAGTCTATCTCAATGCTGATGTAGTGAGTAGTGTCGTGGCCAGTACAGCAGAGAGTGAATATAAGCTCGTAGAATAAATAACATACAATTAATAAAAATATTTCGAAAATTGTATTGTTCAGCAGTTTAGGTATAATTATTGGTAAATAAAATTGTATGAGTTTTAAGCAACAAAATAATTTGAAATTGTTCGTGATTTTGGCGACTATAGTTAAAGTTATAATTGTTATCAACATAAATTTTGAAAATGATCGTCAACATTTGAACTTTTAAGTTTTAACGCTTATAAAAAATGTTTTATTTTAGAATAATTTATTATAATAATGGTTTATTGAATAAATTATTATAATCCGTATTTTAAACAATAAGTAAATTTGTTAAAAAAAGAATAGGTACACTATATTATATGCAGTAGTATAATATTGATAATACTAAAAAAATAAAAAAACACACATCATTGTAAAATCAATACATTCATCGCTCCGCTCAGATAAAAGAAATATTTGAGTGGGAAGTCTCACAGTGTTGAGAGATAGTACTCTTAATTGAATTGACATTTTTTTTACATTTGCACCTAGTATTTAGTATTTTAGTATTCTTCCTTCAGTCAGACCCAGTGTCCCTTTCTAGTATAGGCGTCTGTTCGGGTTATCAGGAAATGTTTGAGATGATCGAGAGTTGTTTGAGAGGGTTTGAGACATTGAGTGAGGATTGAGTTTTTAATTGAATATCGAGCAGTACATTTTGGTCGGTTCGTCTATTATAATTTATAATCATCGTTGGGTTGGAACGAAGTTTTGTTTGAGACAAATCATGGAGGTTTGGTGAGCTTTGATTTAGTCAGTTTTCAGATAATGTTTAAAAGTTATAGGTAATTACACTTAAAAAACGCGCTCTGAAACTGTAGGATACTTATTTAAAGTTTAGTGGCTACACTGGTGCTCAAACGAGATACTATAGATTGTAGTATCATAGAATAATGTTGTAGACATATCTATGTGTACGTGTGAAAGCAATATAATATAATATAATCAAAATTCAATTCCAAATTCCAATTTCCAAGTTCCAACTTAGTAGTTAGTACTTACCTTTACCTGAAATCCAAAACATTCGTCATTCAATAATCAATATACGAAAAAATAAAAATGTCTACTGCATATTGAAAATTATTAATTTCATCTCTGTAGTTTTTCATCCTTCATAATTTTGTTAAGGTTTCTTTATAATACGAACGTATTGTAAACGAATGTACAAATGTAAATGGTTTTTTTTTGTAAATTGAGAAATGAAATTCGACATTTTCTCGCCGTTTTAATATCAGTACATTTTGGTAGTTTAGTACAATATTTTAGTAACTTATTAATCTTTTCCGTGTACTGATTAATTTAAACTCAAAAATATGTTTCGTGAACATTTTTTTTTATTATTGATGTTCATCTACTGTGGTTTACTAACTGATCTGATTAAGAGTCAAACATTAGAGGTGGTTACTGACAACGAGCTCTTGGATTTATGCCGTTCTGAAAACCAAGTAGTTGCCTTATTTAGTATGTATTTGATTACTACCTTTTTTTTAATTGATTTTCTTGTTGTAATTATTGATTTTTTGATGCATTTATACTGTAGCATTAAGAGACTGTGAAAAGTGTAAAAAATATGAAGAAACTCTCACTCAAATTAGAGAAGAACTTGTTGATTCGTTAAATGCTTGGGTTGTAAAAGTGGAAGGTAGCAATTTAGTACACATATATAATCCTGCTAAAGAACCAACGTTGGTTATGTTTCGACACGGTGTACCATTACTAGTACCAGAGCCAGGTAGCTATAAAATATTTAAATTTAATATCTTAATATCTTAATATCTTTTTTCATATTCTAGAGGCTGTTAATGATGAGTTTTTGATAGACATGTTATTGAACAACAGAGATCCTGTTGTTAAAGAACTTAATGATAATAGTTTTGAACATCTTACCCAGGCATCAACAGGAGCTACAACAGGGGATTGGTTTATTAAATTGCAAGTATGATTAGTTAGAGGGTCGGTGCTAGATAACATTTATACATGGGAAAAATTCAAATTGTCCTTCCTTTTGTTTTGTAACCCCTTACCTACCCTATGATCTACTCCATACAGTTATACATGTGTCTCCTCAAACCTCAGTATACTGTATTATTTATTTTATCTTGGGAGGTACTAGGTGGCACTTTTGAAAAAAAAATTAATATGATATTTCTAATCCAGGTGAAATAAGTTTTTCTTGTACCCGGCTCCGATTACAAAATGATCAAGTCCGTTTAGCGCTGTTTGACAACTCATATACAATTTAATTGTTTCTTTTTTTTAAAACTCTTAGAATAAAATTTAAAGTTGGTAAAGAATAATTTGCTCATATAGTCGTTTTTTATCTTAATTTTATAATATATATAAACACAGATAAACAATGTTTATTACAGTATTCATAATTTATTTCATATTTTAAACCATTTTCTTTTAAGATGAAAAATGATTTTTCTATAGAATCGGTTCTCCAACTTATTTATTTGACACATATGAAAAAAGTATTGTTATATCAATAAAAAAATATTCTACAAAAGCTGTTTATTGGCTCAGTTTTGAATTTTGTATCTTTAAATCAAACTATATTATAATCATAAGCATACTACATACCAAGAAAGTGCCACCCTGTGTTGCCTCTGCCCCATGTCGGCCCTAATAAGTTAATACACTAATTAATTTATAAAGTTTGAACTGATTTTTTTTTTACATGTTGACTACCATGGGACTGTCCCACATACTTAAAAATACCCGTTTATATAATTACCCTGATACTGTATGAACACTGGTGGTCCTAAGGCAGTCAACATGTTAATACATTGGTCATACTCATTGACTCACTCAATTTCTGTTTCTAATTTTTGTTTTATTTTTAGTTATTCATCAGATAGTATAGAATGTCAAAGATTACAAGCTCGCTGGGAAACAGTTGGTGCTAAACTGAAAAATCGTGTTAATGTTGCTCGTGTTAACAGGTACATTGGAGGATCAATAACTGCCCGTCGATTTGCTATAAGCCAATCTCCTACATTTATTTTGTATGTAAAAAGTTGTATTTGTTTGTATATAATTCACTCTTTCTAAGAATGGTATAGTTGAACTTTCATTTTATCATTAGATTGCGTCGTGGAATCATGTATACTTATACATCAACTGATTATACTATTGAATCATTCCTCAAATTTGTTGAAGAAGATTATAAATTCACTGTTAAAGGGCAAGTGCCTCAACCAAAATCAATATTGTAAGTGTATTATTAATATTTATTTTAATAAACATTTGAAATGCATAAAATATAATACTTATTTTCAGTGATGATTTTGTACACATGTGCTTTGATGTAATCAGGGAAAACCCATTGGTGTGGAAATTAGGATTGACGGTGTTGAGTGTAATATTGCTGTGTCTTGCTGCTTTGAAGACAACATCCAAGCCAAGTGAATATAAGTCAAAAAAGAAGTCTACTAAAAGTTCTAGTAAAAAAAGCAAGTAATATATAATATATATATATTATATACACATAATTTCACTATGTGAGAAATGCATTTTCAAATATTTTCAATAAATCTTTTATAAAATAAATACTTGTACTATTATAAATAATTTCTGTGTTATTATTTGAATTTTTTTTGTTTGAAATATAAAAATATAAAATTATAAATTGTGTTTTTTATTTTACCATATTATGTTTAATGTCTGTTGTATAATATTAATATATAATCCTTCTATTTCATTGTACAACATGTCCATTTAGGTATCTTGTTTATTTTTGTGCATGAAAACTGAAATAAAATTGAAGAATTAAAAAAAAACTACAAGCTATGGTATTGATTAATAGTTAATACACTATTTGTATAAAACATAAAAGCTTTTTTTCCGTATTATGTTTAATAACAAAACAAAGGATATTCCCAAACTTAAAAAAGGTACAAGAGTCAAAAGTGTCCTAAATAAATTTACTAATTCAAAGAAAATTTTTGAAGTAAATAAGTAATATACAGGATATTTTATCACCTTCATTTTAAATTAATACATAATTGTGGGGCACCGAACTGAAACCTCATATGCTAGGCTTTCATAAATTTAATAATATTAAGTCATCAATTAAAATTATAATTAATAACATAATAGTGTTTTACACATAATAATTATTTGCAGTATATCCAAAACCAAACAATTCTGTGCTTCCAATTTCCTTGTGAAGTACTTTAATTTACAGGATTAAACAAGGTTCATATTTTACAGTATGTAGGTATAAACTATAAATATTAAGTTCATAATTATTAATGATTGTTTAAACCCTAAACCTAAGGAGTAAGGGCTAAGAGGTACCTAGGTAACTTATTTTATTTAAAATTTATCTAAACACTTAATTGTTGTTTACAGAGCATAGGCCATAGGCGGAAATCCATTAACATTTCAGGGATTTGATCTAACATTATTAACAAAAATGTTAATTACAATTTCACGTCCAATTAAAAAGTTATCTGGTTTTTTTGTGGGGGGGGGGGGGGGGGGGGGTGTTTAGCCCCCCTCTCAATCTTGATTTTTGCCTATGCTGAAGAGTGATAAAAAATGTAAAAATAATCTTAGATAAGCATAGGTACATAAATAAAGGCATACATAAGTTTAATAAGTATATTTATGTCTGCGCAAAAAAAAAAAACATTTTATTATTAAAATGTATTTCAATAAATTAATACCTATTTATAATGATTAACCTACATGTCACGTGAGTTAGAATTTTTGAATATTGTGTGAATGTGTGATTGGGGAAAAAACAGGCTATTTATGAGTGAATTTACTAGAAGGCGAAATGTTTATAATTATATCGAACATGAAGTATAAACATAAGTACCTACCTAATGGAAAGCTATTAAGTCACAGACTCCTCCCGTTCGCTCGTTACAGCAGAGGATGCTTACCAAACCACTAGCCGTTATTACGGTGACTGTCAACATTTCGTCGTAACTCGCAACTATTCCCTTTCACTGATCCCAGTTGTTTTGTATACTGTGTTAGTAGTGTGTTTGTTTTAGCTCATGGGCTACAGAAAAAGATCAAACGATTCGACTATTGGTCGGTTATTGATCAAAAACGCTCAACTGAAATAGTTATTAATAAGCCATTCATATTGCATGGTACTCACGACATACTCATTAAAAAGTCCAAGACCAACAAATCGGGGTAAGTTAAAATTCAATAAGCTACCTATTATTATTATTGTAGGTATTATTATCTATTATTATAACAATATTTTATGAATTAAACCATATAAGCGTTGAAAGGCTTTTTAATTAAATTTTATATTTTTTCACTATAGTTTTGTTCACCATCTATATATTTTATTAATTTAGAATACCTACCTCTACTTAAAAAAAAATAGTACTTAGGTACAAACTCCGGCCGTTTAGTAAACACAATCATTACTCAAACCATTTAAGTACATATATAGTTCTATTCGCGTATAGCAGTACAGAATATTAGACAAAATGTATTTCATAATACCTATTATATTCTGTGCATACCACAGTATCATTGTATTAATGATAAGGAATATTTGAATAGTTAAGTATCATACTTCTAGAGTCCATAAACCATAAACTTCACAAAATTATAAAAACAATTTAAATCTTACCAACAATTACTATCTATTAGACTATTAGAGGGAATTATATATTGGAGGGAAACTTGTTGGCGTGTAAACTGTATAACTTATAACTTATAAGGTACCTATTCGAATTCCGAATTACTATTGAACTTTTGGACTCTGATTCAGAGTCTCTGAAGAACGTATGATAGGTAAATGTAACTTTTACCAATACAATTTGGGAGATTTACTCGGATTTTCTTATTGTAAAATTAGATGTCTAAAAAAATTTTCTATACGTGGGCAACGGGTTGAATAATAAGTTATTAGGCTCATTTCACAGTCACGCGTTTTGCGTTTAATATAGGAACTAGGAAGGTACCATAGACCTATAAACTAGTCTGTGGTAGATACACTACCAAAGTTGCATGCCTGCATATACCTATCACGTATACCTGCACGTGTGTCACATGTGACGACTATATGAAATGGGCCTTATAAAGGGAACTGCAATGCAAAGACTTCTCTCCTACGACCTACCTTCCTATCCTTTCTAGCATACCTACGTGAAACGTCTATAGAACTTTACTATCTGTCTGTCTACCCCTGTTTGAATGAAATCAATAGATTATTAAAAACTAATAATATTATCGATATCGTCAGAAAATATAACTTTAGTATTAGGGTTGCTCTATAATTTAGTGGAATACTTGAATCTAATACCTAACTTTTTGGTTCAAAGTTTTTAATAGGTACCTACCTACCTAATCAATTTTGTTCTATGAGCAGAACAGATAAATTATAATAATATATTGTGTTCATGTTTCATGTTTATTATTTTTAAGTCTTTAGTGTAAACAAATAGCAAAATATTTCATATACTTTACACGATAATCTAATAAGGATTTGTGAACATTGCCTTTGACTCTAAACTATTAGGCAATTTTCAGAATATAAACGATTTATGAGAATGAATGTTTTGATAGGTATATGGCCTGCAATAACCATATAGGTAGTACGAACAATAGCAAACCTTAAATATATTTTATAAAAATACCTAGTCAGTAGTCTCACAAAATTAGTAGGTACTTACTTCAGTTTATTCTTTCAATTTGTTTGTATATATATGTACTTATGTATAATGTATGTATGCAAGATTTACATAATATTAACCCATTACATAATAATTTGATTTAAAAAATATAACTTAATAACTTATTATAAGATTAGGTAGTATCTATAAGATTATGTTATGATAAATTGGTTAATGCTAGTTATTTGTATTCATTGGAAATTACTTTTTTATAATAATTGGTATTTGATAGGTATTGAAAATAAAAAAAAACTGACAATGGACAATCGGTTTATTGTTATATTTGAATACACTGTAGGCGGTTTTGTTTTGTGAAGGTTATAGTATATTTAGTTTATCTCCTCAGTTACAACTTAGGTACAGATCACCAGATTTATTTATTTCCAACTAGGTACTATAATAAATAATAATAATGGTATGTTTTAATATAATAATTCATCAATTTTTTATATACCTACCTAATATTTATTATAGGTTATATTGACCTAGGTAGGTAGGTACAAACAATTAATTTATTAAAATTACTACCTATATCAAATTAAATTAATTATTAGCTACTTGAATACCTATATATAATATATTACAATTTACAGCTATAACTGGCAACTGAATATTATTATTTGTATGTATTTTATAGTAAATATTAATAAATTATGGTCGAATACATGTATGGTTTATGCGTGGGTGAGCGAGGACATGATGATCGGTAGATAAGGGGCAAAATTGGATAATCCCTTAGATTTTTTCAAATTAACAACTATTTCCCAGAGGATGAATAATGAAAAGGTCGACATTTTTTAAATAGAGGATTCGTAATTATATTGCTGAAAGTTTAAGTGTATTAACGACCCAGAATTATAAATTGTCTTACATAGGTATAATAATATATCTACCTAATTTGTACATAGAAACTATTATGTGTAGGTTGATATACTATATGTCTATACTCTATATAGGACATAGGTACACCGTATAATGTGTCCGAGAAAACAGGGTACACTGTATAATTAAATTACCCACATTACTCAGTAGCCTAATATATTTTTAAATTCTGTTTGAATGACATAAAACTAGACTATTATATCATTAATTTCCCGCAGACGGAATTCTAAAATATGTATAATATAGGGTATATATTGAGTAATGAGGGTAACAGAGTGTACCCAGTTTTCGAGGACATTCTCTATACAATATAAATGACTATCCTAATAATACCTAATCATTAATAAATAATACTAAGTAATACACAATGAATAAATAATGCAATTAAAGTTTTAGTGCATTTTTTTGATGCATATTACCTTGTACATTTTATTTTATGAAACGGTTTTTTGGATACCCACTATTTATAATAATATATTATGTATTTTTGTTCACAGTTATGTAGGATAAAACTAAATGAATATCTGTATAAGGGTGTCAATCGAATATAAAATGCCTTTGTCCGAAGTGAGAAGATGTGTAACCATCAAATTTACATTATTATTGATGTTAGCCGCAGTAGGTTTAGCTCAATCACCAGATAGTAACTCAATAAATGGCCCAAATAAAGCTAATGGAGGTGCTGTCTCAAAATTCCGTAAGTATAAATTATATTCAATTCTAAAGAATCAATTTGTTCATTAAACAAATTTACTAAATGTGCTTGTTTTTATATTATACCTATATGCGTATCCACTTTTTGAGATATAGGTTGCAATCGCATGTAGTTATATATATATAACTTGACAAATCCGTGTACTTAAATATACAATTATACCCTATGTAATATCCCATATTGATTGGTTAGGTTTCGAGGGGATTTGTATAATTTTCCTGAAAACTGGGAGAAAAGTCTCTAAATCATGCATAATATAGGTGTAATTGATTTAAATTTGTATTACACTATTTAAATGATAATTCAAAAATTAACAAAATGTAGGTACATATCAGCTTCTGCCATCTTTTCACAGATTTAAGGTCCGACATCAAATTATATGTATATATGGAAATAGAACAAACGGTTTTAAAAGCTATTCTTTTGTACGATCTAACAAATATTTAGAACAAATAGTGCTTTAAATGTATAGTATTTTCCTAGAATAATGTTATCATTGATTTCACGTTTAAAGATTTCCACCCTATAGACTTAGTAGCGAGTACCAAACCTAATTGCACTTTTATAATTATTAATTATACAATTATATTATGTAGGTATAACAATTTTCTTATTTTCAGATGATAATTTGAACTAATTAAAATCAAAAACAAATATAAGTATAAAAAATGAATTCATATTAAAAAGGTTTATGACCGATATAATTACATGTATAATTATAGCTACTTTGGTAAAAAAAAAACCGGTAAACTTTCACTAAACGTTCTCGGATTTGTTAATCTAGAAACCAGGCAGACCAGTACCAGTGTATCACATTTAATGTATTTTGAGTTGTTATGTCATCATTTGCATTTGTAAAAATTAATTCATAATTCATACGGTATAATGTAATATATAATTGGCCCGATGCAACAAAACCGCAGGTAGAATGTTAGTTGTTACAGAGTCTTATACATTCTACACTATTTACAGCAGCGGTGTGCAACTGAGCACATTTTCCTTATTTATTTGCTTCGCATTATACATGAACCACTCTTAAAATTAAATAAATAAAAATAATCGCATACACATGTATTATGCGTAATTATGTGTACCTAATTATCTTTATTATTATTCTCGATTAGATACATACGAACAATTATTGTTGTAAATTAAAATTAAATTTAATCATTAAAATATTTTACAAAATCGGAAATCTTGCTTATGCTGTCTGTAGAAATTTCCCTGCCGATGAGTAGATGACTGCTACGAATGTGTATCTACTAAATTTTAATTCTAAGATAAATCATTAGGCGCCTATTCCAAGCAAGCCGAAGAATATTTTTATGTTATACTATGTACCTATATATATTTATATTTTCATTACTGTTTCTTTATTCTGTAGGTTAAACTAATTTTTCTAAAAAAAAAAAATCGCATGCTTATGATGACTTGCAAGACGCAAGTTACTTATAAGGAAATACTGACGTAGAATGGTGTTTTGGAATATATTATGATAATACTATGTAATATATATAATATATATTATACATCTATACACTATAAATGTAACTTAAAATTACCTAGTCTTAAGAAGCATATTATGTACTTTTGATGTTTTAAAATTGCTATTATATGAACCTATTTGAGGAACCTTGATGAAATTTTCAAGTTTTTTGAATAAAACACAAAATTGCTATCAATATATAAATTCAAAAAACCAAATTTTTTTTTAATGTTGTCTATAAATAGTTAAAAAATAAATATTAAAAATTGTACTGAGGAATTCCTAATTTTTATACCTATGTCCTAAAGAATAATCTATAAATCTCGATCAAAAATACAACCAGAAACCACAATTTCCAATCTCAATGCTGAATATTATATCAAACATTCTTCTATCCAATTCTAAAAAAGTTTTTGACCAAAACGAAACAGACAAAAAAAAACCGCGCAAGAAGGGGCCCGACCATCATCAGCTATGTTGGCAACACTGCTTATATTATATATTTTAGGATTTTTAGTATTGAGGAGAAGTAATGCTACCGTGGTTCCTCTTCCGTCCCTCGATTAACTCGAAAAAGAAAAGAATAAAAAAAAAATTAAAAAATTAAAAAAAAAAAAAGGATTTTTAGTATTTGTTGTTATAGCATCCACGGAAATACATAATCTGTGTAAATTTCAACTTTCTAACTTTCATGTTTCATGAGATACAGCCTGGTGACGGACCGGCGGACGGACGGAGCCTTAATAATAGGCTTCCGTTTTACCGTACGGAACCCTGAAAAAACCACGTAATTTTAAAACACTCGTTTTGCCGTTTAAATTACAATGTTTAAATATGCTGGTTAGAACCTTAGAAAATATAATAAATATGTCATGATAGGGCTTGGAAGTTGTAGATTTTCGTGTTTTCTGAATGCACTATACACTATAGGTACACACTACACAGTAAACATGAGTTAAAATTTATTTATTTTTTATTTTTACAAGATATTTACAATCTATTCAGAGAACAATAAGCAAATTAGATAAGAGTAATAAAAAAACATGAGTAATATGACGGAAGAAGCCACCCAATGATGACACTACCTATTTTGTTTAGAGTTTAGTAGGAGGATTTGATCTAGGATTCAAGCATCTAGCAAGTCACGACACCAATTATATAATTACCACGTATAATATACGTTTGAGACGTCTGACGGGGTTACCCGGAATCGAAGGGACTACTAGATTTTCTATAAGAGAGTTAGGATGATTAAAATATGAAAAATTTTTCGTTGCATATTTTTATAAAAACTATGGTTTTTCTGAAAATAAAAGCGTAAAAGGTAAATATATGGCCAAATAAGTAACAGTTTTTTTTACTGTCGAGATTGTAATATGCTTGGCCGCTTGGGTAACTATATATTATTATAGTCGCTGACCTTCGGCTATACGCCTATACATAATAATATTATGATCAATGATAATCATTGATTATGCATTATGCATTAGCATTTCTATCTGTAGACTGTAGTTATAAATTGTATTATATGTTCATGTTGTTATCTTCTATAAAATACATAGGTAGTAATGTAGTATATATTTACTATTTACAGTGTATCAGTGTATGTATATATAATATATATGGTTAAATATTGTATATGGACAAATATATTTTTCACTTTTGGGCGACAGGCGTACCTCTAATAGTCTTTGGGCTTTATTTAAATTTATGCTCTATAAAATATATGAGTGATTTTTTTGTATTCAGTACATTTTTCTTGCGTATTTACAATGTCTTCGTGCATATTTGGCCCTTTTTAGCTTCTATATATAACGTACAAACTCTAGTCATGATATATACCGCAGATAAAATAGATAGTAATAATATGTTTTATAGTTTGGTTTGAGTTTTATTCGGTAGATCCATTAAACAGTAAATTGTTTTTTATATATCAATTATCGAACCTACAATAATTTAATACATTTAACGATATCTTTAAAAAGCTGAAATCTTTGCGCAACTAAAAGGAGGTCCATTGAAGTGTCTACACTCATTATTTCGAAAAGTTTCAAGTTTTTAAAAAATATTAATTTTATATAATTTGATGTAATATCAAAACAAAATTTCTCTGAATTAATTTTTTAACTACTATTTTTTATCGTTATCTATTTTATGTTTATACTTTTTTGAATGACACATTTTTTATTTCATATTCCGAAGCAGAATATTATTCCATTATTATACCTATATTTCTATATAATTCTGTTTTTATGTCAAAACTATTGTTATATTGCCATACAATTATTTTCCTAGGTAGGTTCTTTAAAATATGAAGCCATGTTTAGATTAGTTTAGTCGGTATTCATACATTCAGACATAATAAAGTAATTCTTCATTATTTTTGTATATTTTAACAGTTTTATTGCAACTTTCAGAGATTAAATCGGGTTTAGTTTACAGTACGTAATAATACAAATTGACCTTTTATTACCTGTTAATCCTCTTACAGTCTTGCCCAATTATCAATGAATTCAATAAAAATATATTTATCTTTAAAAAAAATATTATAACTCAAAATACGTATTATTTTTTCTAATAATTTAGTGATAATTCAATAATTGTATCATACGTCTGTAGCAATATACATTTGATACCTAATTTTTCTTAAGAACCAGTCGAACCAGATAACAGGTATGACGGTATGTTAAAAATGTCAACATTAAAATAGAATAGAACAAATGTAGTCGATTATGAAGACGGTTTAAAAATGAAATATTGTCCTAATTTTCTTTGATTATTGAAATAAAATTGAGAATTATGAACTCCTAAAAATAACAACCACAAAAAACGGCATATTTACTTGCACATTTACTAAATCAACAGCCAATAAAAACATCGTATTATTATTTATTTCATATTATTTATAAATACGAAGTACGATTAATACTAATTGCCTTTCGCTCATTATTAATTATTAGTTTATATTATTACTAAATGCTAGGTAGGTACCTACCAATGCACACTCGTCAGTCGTCCCTCGTACAGTTCTTAACATTGTATTTATGTTGTCTATAGATAATACTTATAGATTTTCAAAGTATAGATACTATTTAATTATAATTTACAGTCGATTAAACAGAGATAATAAATACCTACTTAATAATTAAACAAATAAAAATGTTTTCTTAATTTTTATCATTTTGGAATTAGCCAGCTGCCAGCTGAGGTTCTAAAATTAAACTAAGCCCCCTCCCTATGTTACAATGCCCTGGAAACATTTCTGGGATCGTGACCTCTAGCCTCTAGGCATTGAATATTTATCCTACCTAGGTTTATTTTGTTTTACGAGTTCTTGAAAAGTTTAAAATGTTTGTAATCACTGGTCTGTAGTCTGTACCCGCACTCATCAAATGGATGTATTGTATCTATAATTGTATATTTTTTATGATACTATATATAGTTTCTGTGGACTGTGGTGTACACGCTAGGGGGGATTTTGGGTGTTCTAAAATTCTAAAAATTAAAAGAAAAATGAATATTTTTTGATAAATTAGAGTAAAAAAAGCTCATTCGTTTTATGATAAAAATAAATCTTTGTTCGACGACATACTATTTTGATGTATTGATGTATAATGTGTATATATTATATATGTATACATATATAACTTTTTAATGTAAATCCCCACCCTAATTGAAAATAAGCAATAAATAGCAGTGTACTCCACGACTGTACAGTCTGGTTTTAAGATCACATAATACTAAGGATGAACCCATCTCCCGACAACTTGAAGCATGCCATATAAATTACGAGTCTCTGAACCGAAAAGAAATGTTGTATAATATTTATCCATGTGAATTCAGAATTGATATATTATATAAACATAAACAACAGCTAAATATGCGACAGTTCGCCTCCAACATATTATGTGCTTATAGTGCACTTCAAATTGTTTACACGGGCGAGATGAGTATGGCTCCATACATGGAATAGGATCTAAGGGTTTTAATATACCGACACACCACATAGTACATATTCCGTTAAGGTTGAGGTATATAATAATGAGGTCCAATAAAATAATATCTTCTATACTTATTTTAAGTAGGTATTTTAATTTGTGTCCACCCTCATCCAGAAGTCATCCCTTATTATCTCTACAAAATATTATTTTGCATACGAGCGTCGATAACTAAAAACGACAACCAAAATTGGGTGCAAAAAAAACACTTTGTCAACTTAAAAAATGAATTTCAAATACAACCAAAATTAAATTTAAATAGTTGGTACTCAGATTAATTTCGATATATTTTTGTGATTTAAATTATTGGAGTGGATACCAATATAATCAAACATTTTCGATTTGCGCAGTAATAAATTGTCAAGCTCACTTATATAGGTATAATTAATATACTTACCGCTCGACGATTGACAAGTGACATTAAATCTTTCAAATAATACTTTTAAGTTTTAAGTATGATGTGTTATAATTTTTTAATTGTGCCAATATATTATACGGTTTGATCAAATAAGCTAATTAAATTGTGTTTCAATTTACATACAGGTAAATATTTTTCTCAGTGCCAAACACATACAGTTGAATTTGACGAATGTATAAAGAATGCAATCAATAATGTCAGACCATATTTTACAACAGGTATATTTTATTATATTATAATTATTTTATATTTTACATAATAATTGCATTTATATTATAAGACAATAATATAGTTTAGAGAGAAATTTGATATGTATCAACATGCAGTGTTGTGCATAGTATAATAATGAAGCCTGTATTGTGTAACAAATATACATTATAGGTGGTACCTTATATCCTACTTGTTATACCGTAACAACATTACTTTTATAAATTACGTGTTGGCAGGTAATTTAGTTCTATGAACTCAATTTTTTTTTTATAGTAAGGCGTAATTTATAATTTAATTACTTATCATAATATATGGTACTGCAGGTAAGTACCAGCTATAGTCTATATATAGGTTGTTGAGACATATATATTAATGGGGATCATGTTATAAAAAAATTAACACAATATGCAGTAGGTATATGCAATATGCATATAATATATATGTTATACGAAAAATTCACGTTTTTATATTAGAGCAAAAATTCAAGGATTGGGTGGAGGTATATAAGCCAGTGACAGGTGTGTACAAAAACCAAAACATGTTTGAACAAATGGACTTGGGCAGGACTTGGGCATGTTTTGAAACTACATTTCATTTTTATAATTAAATAACTTAAGATTTTTAGTGTAGAAGTTATATAATATAGGTACCAATCTACCTACATTATCATTCATCATTATCAATATTCTATACCAATATTTAAAAAAAAAAATAATAATATAATTTAGGTACAGTAAAGAAAGGGGTTTTCATTTGTAAAAAAATACCAAACTTATATTGGCACAGGAAATCAGAAGCTCTAAAAAAATGTAAGAATTTTATAATTATAAGATAATGTAGGTAGTTTTAAAGTATGCCTACCTACCTATACTTAAAAGTTTCAAAAATCAGAATTTGAATAGATTCATTACAAAAGAATCCTGTACTCTGTAGTGTACACAATATATCATTCTGTATGTGATTTGTATATACTATATACCTAGTATAATATAATCGTATGTGTCAGTGGTGAATTTAGGGGAGGGGATTTGGGTGAATATCCCTGGCGCCAAATTTTAGGGGTGGGAAAAATTAAATATTTTTATTCTATTTCGCAGATACCCAGCGATAAAATTACTCTATGTACTGTACATGGTAGTATGGCACATGCATATAATTGAGTATTTGAGTAACTACCTACATTTACAATGTATACTATATTAATTAAAGGTGTTCATTATGATTTATGGATAATAATAAATACACTTTTCTTCTGCGAAAATATAAATCGTAAATTTTTTTGATTTAACTGGCCGAGAAAATATCTATTTAATCTACTTATAGAAACCGATTCATGCGTAGGTATAGGTATATTTTTCCAAACTGCGAATATGTGGATAATTGGATATGTGATACTATTGATTTAATTTTTATTATTATTGATAATAAATAAGTACTTACCTATTTAAATTAAACATATTAAAATATTATAGAAAAAAAGTAAAATACCTATATACTCTGTTCAAAATAAGATCGTGACCCGGCGGCGACCAGTTTTCGTCGGGCGGCGGTCAGACATATGGCCAGATGCCGTCCCCACTACAGCGACGCGTCGGGCGCAGCCACGGAACAAAGCCACGCCCATGCGCACAACTCGGCCGCCGGGTCACGATCTTATTTTGAACAGAGTATAGGTATTTTGTAACAACGCATTAGGCTTATTTATACCTAAAATGTTATACCTATCTACATTTCATCAATAAAACATATAGATACAACTATATAATATGTTTATAATTAATAAATTCATTTATTCGTGATTAAAATGTAAATTTGTTACTTTTTTAATATTTAAGTAAGTATAGGTACGATAGTGGTGGATCTAGACTCTAGAGGGGGGAAAGGGGCATTCTCCTCCTCTTTTGCTTTTTAAAAAGTATAGGTATGTAATTTACCTAACGGCTAACGTCTGACGTCTATATACACGTCAAGTAACAGTGGATAATAAGTATGAATGTATGATACTTACACGATACAACACACTGCTGATGTTGGTATACTTATTAAATTTGATTAAATTTTCAAAATTATAGCGAATAAAATGAATTTCATCGGTTAACCTATTTACTCCACAATAACTCTCAAACATTGTCACTATTATACACAATGTAGGTACTGTATGTATTAGGTACCTACTACCTACTGTATTAGGAATAGATACATTTAAGATTCACATAAATTTTAAATAGCTAATGGAAATAATTTCGATTTAGGTGTACCAGAATTAGGAATTCCTCCATTTGATCCTTTTTTTGCCAGTGTTGTCAAACAAAGCAAAGGAGCCGGTGTATTTGGTTACAAGTTAACTTTATATAACGTTACTGAAACCGGATGGAGACTTTCGGAAATAAAAAAAATCAAGTAAACCGTCGTTGCAGAGTAAAAACAAAATGCTAATGAGAATTATGTTTTCTAAAATGCGTATTTTTTTTTAGAACGAACTTCAATACGAACACAATCAAACTTACACATTATTTCCCTGAGAAGTATTTAGAAGGTTACTACGAGGCAGAGAATACGATACTGCGACCTGGAGTTACGACGATTGGCCAATTCAATATGACTTTATGTAAGAATTTTTATGATCAATTGTTAATACGAGTATAACTGTAATATTTCGTAACAGATCCTTGATAATAATGATAAATATATATTTTTTTATATGTGTTTATTATGTCTATAGTAGGTAATACGAAATAATAAAATATCATGCTTTGTCTTATAAATAATTTGTTTAGACGATTATATCCAAACAATGACAATAAGCAAACCTAAAAATACAAATCGAATTAAAGTATCTGTGCAGCTCGAAGAAATTGGAAATATGTCACTGCATATTAGCAATCTTTTGCGTGGAAGAGTTATCGTTGGTAAGTTTTTCTTAGGTACCAGCATGTAGCTAGTATACCTACCTATAAACAAGGGCTTAGACAAGTGTGGCAGTCCCCCCGTCCATAGCTAACAAAATATTTATGTATGTTTAACAAAAACCTATAAACCTATTATATTGATAATACAAATTATTTTAAATTTTAATATAGGTATCTACATTCTACTTAATAATTAATTAAATTATATGAAAATTAATACCGTTTTAAAATTGTCGATTTCTTGATATTGTGATGATTAATTTTGAACTTATATAGGTACATTGTACAACACACCGTAAAACTGGTAAACTTTGTGTGCTTGGGACTACCCCTACTGCCTACATATAAACCAGGAAAATAATTACATAGATCAGTATTTTTAGGGAAAATATTTATTTGGAATGATATCTTAAGAGGTACAGCCATTGAGCCGTACAATATTTCTAAAGAACGTTCTAATTTAGAAGGGTAGGTGCTATCCAGGATTAATATTTTCTTGATATTCACAGGATATTAAATATTAATACTCTGTATAGTTACTTCTCATATTCCCGTACTTACAGCATTTGGGAAATGATAATATTTTGTAAATATTTTAAAGTGCTTGAATAATGAATATTTTATAAATATTTTCTTCTCATGATAACAATTAACAAAATATTGTACTACCTAAATGACTGCATAAAAATGTTGACTTAATATTTTTATAAAGTTTCCGTAAAAATGTTTTTTTTAAAATGTATGATTATAATATTTTGTAAATGTTTTTTATAAAATATTTTCAAAGTGCGACTATCTACTTATACCCTCATATCTTGATTTCAAATGCCTAGATATATGTCTATATCTATATGAATTTTCTTGAAAACATTTACGAAGCTAAATATAAATTTGCTGATAATTGTTACTCGCTTGTAAGACGAAGGCAACAAATACGGGTGTCGGGGTGTATATTGACCAACTCCATTAATAAAAACAAAAAGAATATTTGAGCTTATAACAAATTTCATATTTTAATCAAGTTTCGTAAAATAATATTGTAAAAATTGCTGTATAACCTAAAGTTCTAAACTAATTTTATCTGAAAATGATTTATTATGAAATTTTTTTTTATTATTTTACAATTTTCGTGGCTGGGGTGGGGGGGTAACAACCCCTTCCACCACTCCTGGGTACGCAATTGGTAATACCTGAACGGACTACTACTACGCGGCTACTGATGGCTGTACACAATAATATTATAATACACCATTTTTTTTATGGGTTTCAATAACAATAAAATTATGACTTTTTTTTGTCAAGAGTTCAAAAATAGTTTCATTTTACAGTAAGTACTAAAGTGCCAGGTGCCTATAGGTACAAATACACTGCAAAGCAGTGGCGTCCGCAGGATTTTCCAATGGGGGGTGGGCTTGAAAATTAGTTACAAATTTATTTTTATTTTGTCCAGTCTAATAATTTCAGACGTTTATTTGAGGTATTTTAAAATGTTTGTAACTTTTCAACTTTTCTGGTAGAAAAAATGCTCTTATCATAAGCTTCGATGCCCAGTGCATGTTTTTGGAAGCAAATTGGATCTAGTTGGTACTTTTAGGAGGTCGAAATTGAATCTGCTCAGTGCTTTTAAAAGTACCTAATTGGAGAAAAAAAAATGAAAATTTATTTAAATTGTTTGGTAACAATAGCTTGGTTACAGTGACGTATTTATGGGGGGGGGGGGTATGGGGGATAGATCCCCTCCCTTACCCATTATTTTCTATGTATAAAGTACAAACTGCTACAGTACTGTTGTTATTTATAATTTTGTTATCCTGTGGGCATGTGAGTGACATTACACAACATTTATTATTATTATATACCTTACATGGAGTAACTAACAAAAAGTTGCAACAGCACTAAACAAATTTTGATATCCCCCTCATCAAGAAAATCCTATATACGCCCTTGCTTGGTTATACCGTCCTCACTTGGATTGTATTTGATTAATTAAAATTTTTTTTTATAAATGTCAATAAAAAATTATTTATCCGGTCAAAAAGCTTAAAAATGTAATACTTAAGGTTTTTTACTATAGCTAAAATATTAACGATACATATGCATTTAAAGTTCAAAACAATTTAACCACAGTCAATTTGTAGTTCAAAACTTATAAAATATAAAATATGTATAGTTAAGGCTAGACAATTTAATACAAGGTCCTTCATACAAGTAGTTCATTCTTTTACCGAAAAATTACAGATAATTTATGAAAATTGGTATGCAAATACAATGTTTTTTCAAAAATGAATTCATTCTGGTAAGACATATAGGTATGAAATTTACGTCTTGCTTACTATAGTTGACAGTTTAAACTTGATTAATATATTTTTTAAAAAGTAATAATAATAAGGGGAATGGGGCCCTTCAGCCCGTTAGCCCCCCCCCCGCGGACGCCACTGCTGCAAAGTGATGAGCCTTTTAAAATTGTTTTACGGTTGACTTTTTAATTTCGTCAATCAGATATGGGAATTAATATGAAGCAAATTTAAAAATAATGTTTATTTATCTTATTAAATTCAAAACGAACATTCAATCTTCATATAATTTGTATAATAATTGTATTTTTATTGTGCTCCTCCCTAGAAAAAAAATATTATGTCGGTACGTCTAAGCCCTAAGGAGTAAGAGGTAATTCCATAGACCTATAAACTATAGGTACTTCCCATATACCTACCTGCAAATACAATCAGTTTAGCTATTTAGATTAAATATACAGTATACATGATGATTGATGGTAGACGGTAGTTAACAATTTTGAAATTCTAAGTCCAAATATTATATTTTCTCCTAGTACCTATACCACGTGTTTCATTTTGTTATGCACTGGACGTCTGGACTGAACAATGCACAATCATAATTCCAAAAACATATTTTAATTCAGTGCCAAATTTTTATACTTAAAATTATAGATGCTTTTTACATTTTAGCTTTGTTCATATTATTTAATAATATTTGTCCCTCCAAAATTATATAATTTTAATACTTTTTTTTTTTTTAACAGAAAACGTTTTGGACAGAGTAATAAACGCCTCATGGAGAGTTGGATTGCCAGTTGTGAAACCACTTATTAACGACCTTGTTGCTTCAGCTTTTACCAAAATTTGGAATGATATTTTTAATGATTTTGATTTTAGTTACTTACTGCCATAAATAATTTATAGGTCCATATTTTATTTCACTTTTATTATTTGGCCATTATGACAACAAATAGTTTTAATTATAAAAATAACAGTTACTGTCATTTGACTATAATTATTTGCATCATTTGTTGTTACATTCTAAAATATCATCATTTTATTTATCATACATCATCAAATATCATATTACTGTTTAGTGTTTGTTATATTTTAATGTAATTTTTATTTTATTTAGTTTTAACTTTTATGAGTGTAATATACCTACATAAATAGCAGTATAGTTTATGTTAATCTATTATAATATAAGGAATAACAAAATCATTCAATTGTGTTATATATTTTTTGTCTAATTTGATATTTTCAATGTGATGTGCATACTAATACTATACAGTATTAAAATGCTAGTTACCGATAAAGTATAATAAATGCTATAAAATATAAATCAATTGATTTTTAAAGTGAAATTTCTTTACGCAGGGTATTGAGGAAAAAACGAAACCGAACGGGCGGCGCCAGTGTTGCCAGACTCTGAAACTAATATTACCGTAAAGTACTTAAATAATTATCGTTTTTCAAAAAAATTATCGTACACCAAAAACTGTTTTGCTTCAGTGCCCAGATTACAATACCCTGTATATATAATATAAATATATATACATTTATATTAGAGTGTTATATTTAATGATTCTATAAACACATACTTCTTACGCTGGTGGTACCAGACCATAGATATATATTCTTTGCCAAATTATTTTAATCTGACGCATAAATATCTATTTATTAGTAAGGAAATTAAAGTAATTTTATGGGGTCGTTCCAATAAACTACAATTGCAATCTAATTCACTAAATATATTACGATCAAGAGACAAGTTATTAGTGCATTTTTACATTATTTTTTTATTTGAATTGAGTATGATAAGGTTTGTTAGATTATTTGTTAAATTTAAAAGGATTTTTTCAGCCTCCATTATTATTTTAAAAGAACTTTCATTTTAATTAATTGATATCACGAGGATTGATAACATCTATATTTTGTAAACAGTGCCCAAACCATAGATATATAAAAATACGACCCCCTATTCCTACAATGTAATAATTATGAAGCCAACAAAATGGCCGAAATACTCTTATCCAAGAGGTGAATGTTTACAAAATATAAATTATGATAAACTGTGATAATTTTATGGCGTTAATCAAAAACTATTAAATATGTATTACAAATTACAATATCATTATACACTTACTAGTTAGAACACGGACTATAAGATGTACTTATAACTTATATTTTTAATTTTATAGTATATCTTAGTCCTTGTCTTAAAATTAAGATTAAAAGTATAATTTATTGCAAAAAACGAGAAATACAATATAGATATAATAAACAAGTTTCAAGCTCGTCCAATAAGCACATGCTTGAATTCTAATGATCTGAGTTCATATTAAAAATGAACTAAAATGAAAATAAATTTAACTTTATGTTATGTCATATTACAACAAAATAAAGTAAAACAAAAAAGATTTAATTTAATATTAAATATAAGAGAAAATATTATTAATATTATATATCTTATACTTAGTGAAATTACAAAAATTGGTTAAATTAATAATATACGAGTACAGGGCCGAATCTTGAACTCTGAGGGCCCTGGTGCAAAAGAAAATTTAGGGGCTCCCTTGAAAAACAATTCACTATTATACCATTATATTTTTACTACAAATCGAATTGCATTATAAATTTAAAACCATATTTTAACATATAGGTATATTAGGTAATATGATATATTGATATTTAAGAGTAATCTTAAATAATTAATAATTTATTTAACATCATTATTACATAAATATCTAAGATATTCTATTATAAGAAATATAATTTATAAAGCAAAATTGTCAATCATTTTCTCAATATTTAGATTTTTAGTTCGTTCTTTTTATATATTTGAAATTGCTATACTAGATGAACGCACTCGTCCACATGCGTTTCTTAAGTAATTTTTTATTAGTTTTAATTGGGAAAATGATTTTTCTGCTCCAGTGATTGCTGTCGTTATATAAGAAAAATAATGAAAGCTCTTAAAACGTCACTTGGGTATATATCATTCGAAAATCATTTCGACGGGTCGGCGAAGTATCTACCTAGCTTACGAAAAAACAATGTGGTGTTCATACAACAACAATAACAAAAACTATAGTTATTATTATTATTATTTTAAAATCTGAGCCGAGCGATGAATGGATTGATTTTTTATAATAATGTGTGCGTGTTTTCTTAAATTCATTTTTCTTCTTTTATCACATTTTGGGGCAGAAACAATGTCACCAGTCACCACACGGCACACACAATAAACTTATACTCTCACTTGGCCAATACCTTCAATGTATTTCATTGATATTAATTGGTTCGTAACAAAAAAATTCTTGTTTAATATTCTGTGTGAGTTCCACATGAACACGATCATGTTCAATGGGGCCATTATTCTGTTGAAATAAATAAAATCGTACTCATCTTTAATACGAAAAATAAGGAACAACATTTTACCGTGTAACGAAGAAATAATTTTATTATATAATCTCATGAAAACGAATGCATATAGTGCTTTACAATTTGGAATGCCGAAAAATGAAAATATTATGTGTTACAAAAAAAGTAGCAAAAAAAAGAAATAATTTAAATGCAAAAAAAAAGGCATCGGACAAGACGATGCGATGTGGGGGGTACGTGATGGCGAGTTGGTGGTGCTGATGATGTTGGTAACTGGTATATGGCCACTGGTCACCTCTACAACGTTCTCACGGGCTGTCCTGCGGGGCGGACGAGAGTCGCGGGCGAGTTTGCTCGAGACCGCTAAGACGACCATGGCAGCGGACGAAGCCCGGCCACGACGGCTGCGAGAGCGACGACGGTTGGCGACGAGAGGGCGAGAGGCTAGTGCGCGATGTCGTGCGCTGCTTGACGGTACTGCGGGTGCTGAAAACGACTGCTTGTGCCGGCAACGACGGTGACCTGCAAAGCTCGGAGGGGCGAGCTGGCGACTACGATCTCGGTGCAGCTGCGGAATTCAAAGCAGCTGAGTCCCGTTGCGACTCGGGATCAGTCCACTGGGAGAAAAGGGGAGAGAATCTGCAGACAGCTTCGCGACGCGCCGCTGTCCTGATAATCTCCGTGATTTTTGACCTGGCGTCTCCGTCGTCGTTTGCCGCAGCCGATGGCCACGGGGTCGCGCACCGCCAAACCCGACGAAACGTTTCGTTTCCTCGAGCCCGGCGCTGCTGACGTCCGTGGTGTTCCTAGCTACCCTGTAATCATAGTCATCCGTCACTCATCCGCCGTGAGCTCTGTGGTCTCCGTCGCCGCCGTCACGCGAGTCGCGCAGCACTGCGTTCGTCACTGAGCAGGTACCGTCGAGGACGGCGTCGTTGTCCGCGCCGGTACCGCTAACCTCCGACGTCGTGTTGTCGTCGCTCCCGGACCGAAGCAGCCGGGCGCCCGCCGCGCCGCCAGAGGGTCTCGCACTCTCGCGTGTCTCGGCGACCTCGAGCTCGCAACGTCCGCGACCCGTCGCGCTACCGCAGGATGGCCGGAGAACGCGTATCGGTGACTTACCGCCGATCACCTGCACCTGAATGTGCACTGCCGAGGAACCTATTACCTCGAAACCCCACACGTCGCCTCGCCTTGTCCGCTGCCCTCAGCCAGGGGGAAACTTTTGGACGGTTTCACTTCGGGGGACAACAACAGCGCAACACGCGTACGGTTCTCGTTATGCCTCTCCACGCAGAGGACACCAATCTCGCCGTTCCACTGCGCGGAGCTGCGCGTGTTTCTGTCTTGACCCCCGGGTCCAGCCAACCAATCAAGATCCCAATACTGTTTCTGACTTCAAGTCCTCTGGCCGGTGTGGCGCCCACCGCCTCGCCACCCAGCTCCTTATTCGCGGCTTCCTGCACCGGAGGCGCGACCACTACGACGTCGTCTACGATCGGTTCAACCGGTTCTGCCGTTTTGCCAGATTTGTCGACCGGTTGAAAGACGTTGAACGCGTCGTAGTGGTCGCGCCTCCGGTGCAGGAAGCCGCGAATAAGGAGCTGGGTGGCGAGGCGGTGGGCGCCACACCGGCCAGAGGACTTGAAGTCAGAAACAGTATTGGGATCTTGATTGGTTGTCGCATACGACAAAAGTCCTTCCAGGTCACCGATGGTAGGTTCCTCGTCGATGTCGTCTATTCGGCCAAGTTCTTCCTCCATAATCTCGTAGGTACTCGACGTTGCTTATTATCTTTCCCAGGATTTGCTTTATGGTTGTTTCCATTGCCTTTTCTTCGTTATGCGATGCAGCCATTTTTTTGTTCAGGTTTTTTTGTCCGCGTAAGGTGTCAGATACTCAGATGAGTTGCAAATGTGCCGATTTTCGTATTTCTTCCTGGGCCGTCGACGATGATTTAAAACAAACATCTTTTATTAGTAGCCAGCACATTATTATATTAATCAACCGGCACCAGCTGGATTTCGGGCCCGTTAATTTTTCCAAATGCCATTATTACGACTATTATTGGACATTGGTATACCAACTCTAACTGTATATACTTACACGGAGGTATACTATAATAATTGGATTATAATGTTTTAACGAGGATTTATAATATGTCGATCTGCATTATATTACTATACTGTCGTATATATATACTCGTTTTATACTTTTGTATGTACCTATAAGATTTTTAGATTCAGAACGGAACCCGACCAATGCGTATTGCGATTTTACAATTATTGTTTTTTGTGTATGTGTTGTGGTGTACCTATATTACGTTTTATAGTAGAAAAAATGCTTTGATCTACAACGTTGGGGATGATTTCAGATCAAGTTGCATCTAGTTGGTACTGGCACAGTACTGGGTATTTTAAAGGGCGAAATTGCAGAAAATTAAAAGTTCTTTTCTTAATAATAATATTAGGAAAAACGAGAAAAAAATGAGGGAACTTTTTTACGAGCATCTTCCATATTATATATTGTATAATTTTCAAATGGCTACCTATTTTAGAAGTTTTTAATTTTCTATTTTAGGTTCTGGCGATCTCTAAACTTAATTATTCTAATCACTATACTGTTTTTTAAATAAAAATGTGTTTGTAATTATTTTGTAATTACGAGTACTTATTTAAAGTTATTATTTGACTCAAGATTAAAGAAAATGTTATTGGAATGAATCACCTTAATATAGTATTAAATAAAATATTATTTAAACTGACTATTGACTATTATAAGCATTAAATATTTTAATACCTACCTACGCTAATATTGTTTTATAATATATTATTAATAGTTTCTCATTTAATTATATATATTAATCACATATTTGTGAAAAAAAATAACATCTAAAATATTGGTATAGTTTCATTTCAGTTTGATTTTTGTTAATATTTATGGATTTTTAAATAAAAAATTTAAAACAAAACTTTCCTGTTGAGTGAATGTCACAGTTTAGCTATGTTAACTCAATCTAAAATCATTACAGTTTATTGAGGCTAGTCATCCGCTCTTTACTTCGCATATATCGTATACTTTAGTTTTCCACTTCTTATTGGCTGTCAATCGTATAATTAATATATTTATGTAAGCCTCTTCTAATTATTAGACGTTGAGTTCCAAAATAAATGACATTAAATGGTATAATTAAATTACAATTATTTTATGATCTTGTATTTTAGTATTTATAACCATACAAAGGATGTATTAACTTTAAACATACGGTATAATACAATATGCAGCTCATAAGTTTTGACCAAAAGTTCAATCCTTAAACTCATGGTAAATTATATTAGTAAAATATGATTTAGTTTTGTTAAGAATGATTTTGATTAATTAATTTATAATTTAGGGTAAAACATTGTTGTGTATAGTATGTAAAGCCACACATCAAAATCAAATACAAACATTAAATATAAAAATCTTGATTTTAAATAATAAACTTATGTAATAATACATTTGCATTCGATAATAATGTTTTTAATGCACTTCAATGTGATAATGTTCCTTTGCTAGATAGACCCCATAAGATGGTATTAATTTCATTATGAGTTAAAAAATATCTAAGTATTTGACTCCATTCTTTTGGCAAAATGTTTTCAACAGAAATTTTAAATCCTGTAAGAAAAAGACAAATAAACAAATTATTTTTATTTTTAAGTAGGTATAAAATATTATATGTAGTATAGACTATAGGTACCAGTTTTATTTTAAATATTTGTATTATTATTAAATTAATTAATATACTAGTTTTGTTTTATTTACTTGAAATATTTTATATTTATTACTATAATATGTAGCAACTAGCAAGATTAAGAGGTACAAGCGATGCAATGTAAGTGGTGGTCGTGAGCAACGTTAGTTAAGTGACTTTTTTTTTGCTGCGAATAAATATTATATAAACGTTGCAAAATAAAAAACAGATTCATCTATCTTGGCTCATACTAATTAATATGAATAATTAATGATCGATTATTATAGAATCTATACTGAGAGCCCAATATCAGTTGGCATCTAGTATATTTAATTAATTGTTATTAATTGGTTAATTCACTCACAGACCTTTTTCCTGGATAAAATGATAAAAACAATACTGCAAACAATTATTATCCATCGATCTGCCGAATAAAAATAAAAAATAATAAATAATTAAGGATAACTTCCTCTCATTTTTTAAATTAATTAATATTAACTAGAGTGTACCGTTCAAAAGAATTCCCGTGCGCGTACTGGTAACACACACACCTTTTTGTTTTTATAATGTATACAAGAGTGTATCACCTATTATACACGTTGTGCAATAAATATACCTACATAAGCAATACAATATTTTAAATGTGTATGATCAAGAAGAGACCTATTATCACACCACGTAATGAATATTTATATTAACTTGGAAATTAGTTGGAATGGAAAAGGAATTATTCAAAAAGGTCTCTATACCATTGTTATTTATTGTTTTAGAATCCTGTTAGAAATATTAGGTATCCTTTGACAAGATAGTGTGTAGTGAATATTGAAAATAGAATATATTTACAATCTGTATTTTATATTTTATATAATTAATGAATACGCTTTAAAAGGAAATAAAATGATGCGGTCGCATGCCAACCAGTCGTTATTGATCAACAGAAAAAAATATTAACACTTTATGTTGGTTTTAAATTTGAATACATAATTATATTCTTTTATTCAACTTCTGTTTTGACAATAATTATAAAATATAAGTTTTAATATTGTTCCTAAAGATTGGTAAATGGTGTTAAGACCGTCTTCCAAATATTATAACTGTGACTTTGGTTTTACAACCTGCCCCTAAAATAATGTAATTTTTTTAGGCTGCGAACTATACAACAAAGTGGTTCCCAATAAGCTTTAAGCCACATACCCCTCGATAAAACTTAAATTTGAATGTGGACTAGGTGTAGAAATATTTATTTATAAAAGTAATTATTTTGAATGGTAGGTAGGTACTTTTATTGGATACACTTTAAAGATAGGACAATAGGAGTGTGTATTCATAGGTATTGTATTTTATAAACATGAATCATTTTATATTATATAAAACATCTTTATGTACTAGAAATATACATATAATAGTTGTTTATCATTATTTTCATTCAAACTAAAGATGTAGTCTTCTTTATAATATTGATTCTGTATTGTACATCTAAAAAACAAAAAATAAACAAAACATTTTACTAACACTCTTTTAACTTAGTTTTATGGGTGGTCTTTGAACTATATTTTACTGTCAGTTATTCTGTTTTTAAGTAAAAAATGTGTTAAAAATTGAAATGTTCTTAAATAAAATAAGCACTTTTTAAGATCATTCACACAAAGAGGGAATTGTCATGCAACAATATTTCTACTTTTTGCAATCAGTCGATAATTCGAGGACTGAATTATTCTTGCAACCGGTTAGGTAACTCTACTCTGTCTCACAAAATAAAGATACGGTTTTGCGAATTTAGGCTGTAATGTACAACCACCTTCGGACCGTTGAAGTGTTGCACGCACTTAATTATTACAAACATATTACGTAAAAAAGCTTGTGTACTGAACATTCATTAGCTTACTTTTCATAATGGTTTTCCTCTTTGTAGCATCAGTCGGGTGTTCTATACTTCTACCTGTAATATTAAAATATAATTATTTAGTTCACGGTTTAAATAAACTGTATTTCAAGTAAACAAACTATACTCTGTTCAGAAAGAGACTGCCCCTCGCAACAACAAAAACTGGTTCCCCCCATAGACTTTATACTAATAGACGGAACATACAGACGGGATGCGGGTGGATGGTGCGGTCTTTCCTAGCATGCCAGCAGTGATGCCATTCCTTGCGACCAAAAACATTGTTATTAACACTTACCATATTATAATTACAACTTCATTATTCTATACTAAATAGACAAAAGCCAAATAGACTTATAAATTATAACCAGCTAGACTATAATAGTTGTATTCTAAGTAGGTACTAGTAAGTAGTAGTATAAAATAAGTTTGGTCACTATTTTTATCATAAACATTGCAAATGACACACTTTCTAGTCATCTTAGTACAAACTTGAAAGTTGAAACTAAGTTAAACAATAAAAATATCGGCAAAACTCAAGAAAAACACTTGTTGAAACAGTTGAAAATTTCAAATCAGAACCAGAATTATAACAGTAATATACTATTGTGAGAGTATGCGGTGTGTTGATTAGTCACAGGCGAAACTGTGCAAGTAGAATTAAAAATTATTGTACAATCCGATAGGTCTTATACGCATGTGCGGTTTACAGTGTACTACCATGATCAGCGCCATCACGCTTGGACGCCGAAACTACAACCAAGTTCCATCTATTAGTATAAGGTCTATGGTTCCCCACGCTACACCCTGCCATTAGGAACCGGTTTCAATAGTATGGTGACTTGGAGGGATACGCAGAATCGGTGAGCTCTTTTGCAGAACAGAGTATAAGGAAGGCTCTTTGCAGTACGTTTATATTATTTCGAGTTCTCTACTTCCAAGGATATTTTATTATTTACTAATAATACTATAAGTAATTTTTGGTCTAAATAGTGTATTGAAAATTTAAATAAATAATAGCAAAAGGTTTAGAGCTTCAAATTTTGAAATGTCTAGGTACAATAAAATGTTTGTACATTAATATTTATAAATATGTAAAATAAAAAACAAAACCTAAGTAAATTTGGTAAAAAAAAACTTGAAGACGCATTGGAAGTAGCCAGTGACACTACTTCAGCTTTTATATTTAATAAATATTTTTTAATATTGAACTTACTTGTACATCATATTCAATTCCTTTGCTTTTCAATTTCTTTTGTAAAGATTGAATGCGTCTTTTTAATGCAGCCTTACTTTGTTTTTCTTGTGCAGGATCTAATGGTCTTTCCATTGCTTTTCTTTGTATCGACCTATTTTTTATTGTTAGAGGAATATTGTTTTTGTTGCAACGCCAAAATGTGTTACTTTTTACTTGGTTTGGTGCGAGGTATTTAGCTAAAAATATATAAATTATAAAAATACAAATTTACAATTGATTATTTTACAAGTGAGTTTTCTTACCAACAAGAATTTTTTTATGCATCAAATAGTTGTTCATGGTTTCTGCAACTACTTTGGCAACTTCTGGGTACAAAAACTCAACAAATGCGTATCCTCGTGCTTTGCCGGTTTTCTAAAGGTAGTTATTACTTATTATTATTAATAATGTAAATAAAAATCTAAACAAACCAATTAATTAAATTATCAGTGAGACAATTACCTTGCTTTTAGGAATGTTAATGTTGGTGACTTCACCAAATTGTGCAAAATAATGTTTCATTTCATTTTCGTAAAAACCGTGGGGGACATGCCCAAGATACACAACACCCCTATCATTGGATGTTTTGGTGGCTTTTTCTTTAGCCGGTTCGGTTTTGTTGAGCTAAATAAACATATTTACTTATTACTTAGACCCAATGCATTGATAATTTTTAAATTCAAAGTATTTATCGTTTAGATTTCAGATGAGTAAAATTGTAAAAATGTATACTAAATTATAGCCATCGATTAATATCTTAAATCATATGTATATATGATATAATATGATCTAAGATAAATATTATTTTCAATGTTTACTTACTTTTATAAAACCACTTTTAAACATATTTAAAGTTTTGATCAAAAGAGTATAGACTAAAAAGTAAAGACGTAAATTAAAGTAATTAAACCCTCGATGATCAGTGATCACGGATATCGTGGACCGCTTATTGACTGTCTGGAAGCTAGTAACAAGATAATATTATTATTTATTATAGGTTAGGTTACTATTTTTCAAGGAACATGTCATCTACAAACCGTGCTACAAACTTTAGGAACCATGCGTTTGAATGGTAAATAAATAATACAGTGTATTTTATAACATTAAACATTATATAATTATTTTTTATTGATAAGACGGTATGACGGTGTTTGAAATTTTAAAAATCGAATATGTTCCTGTATGAATGCAATACGAATACGATGAAATAGAAATGGATTCTAATTTCTCATAGATCTAACTGTTCATATTCTTGATGGGACCGTAAACAGTGTTATACGATGACAATTATTATATTAGGCTTGAGAAAACCATCGTTTGACCTAAGCGGAACAGTCGATGACCAATTCGGGCTCGAGCCGGCCTAAAATCTGAATCCCGCATTTTTCTGTCAGTCTATTAATAGTCGATCCAGGCAGCTCTTGTGTTTTGCAGAGACGTCGATTTACAACTCGCCGATTTCGGGACTCCTTCGCAATGGCGGTAAACTATATTTTATTCAGGCATACTATTTAAATATTTATGAGTGCATGTGTTAATAAATAATAGTCCCTTATTAAAGGTCACCTATTTATTGTATTTGCCATTTTTTGATTTTCTGAATGAGTATACTTACTTAAATATTTGTGAAGTATTGACTGTTAGAACAAGACACCTTAAAACATTATAATAATGACATTAAAGAAAAAAAGAGCTTTATAATTTTAATCTTTTTACTAATTGAACTTTTTGGTCTATCCTTCAGATCTAAACCCAATCTTTAATCAATGTATACTATAGTATGTGAATAATTTTTAGTATTTCTGTATTTGGTTTTCTATACTTTTGATTTCGGTAAATTATATTTAAAATAAAACCTAATTAACTGTTTAAAAAAATAAACTTATATTATTGTATCTTTACGGAGCTTTTGGTATATCAAATCTAACACCCTCAATAACTCAAATATATTTGTTTGTTTAGACTTTATTGGGTATACAATTAATTATTACAATGATCGCCATTAATCTAATACATCGTCTTAGTCATATCTATTCATTTGCTCGATGGACACTATGTTCCACAGGGTAAGTAGTATCACAGCTGTTTTAAAAAATTGAATTAGAGTAAAATATGTATTAATTTTGTCTGTAAGAATTTGACACTATAGTTTTATATTAATAATATTTTTTGTTTTAGACTTGTTCGTTACTTACACCCTACAGATAAAGAGCTTAGACTGTTATCAGGGCTAAAGAAAAAAGATTCAAAATTAAGTAAACGACCTATACATGCTCAAAATGATAATATTGATATATTTCAGATACCCAAAAGTTTAGACATTGAAGTGAGTGCCTAAGTTTTTTAGTAAATATTAAATAAATCCAAATAATCTTATTTAAGTTTAATTTTTACTAAATATTTTAGTTAGAGAGTCAACCCATTCAAGAACATGAAATATATCAGCTTAGATATTTTATGGAATATCAATGGCTAGTAAATTTCTCTTTATATGCAGCTTTAGTATATTTAAGTACTGAAATATACTCTTACTATTCACCAATCGATAATGAAATTAATCTTAGTATGCTATGGTGTTCAATCGTCATTGTTTTCGCATTGTATCCTTTTAAAGAATAAGTTCATAATTATTTAAAAATTGTTTTTCTTCCTGAATTTTTAAATTTTTAGCAAAATTCTTATGTCTCTGACTTTAGAATATTTTCGTGGTGGTTTTGAATCATCGGGTGAACGATCAACTGTAATAGTTGCAGCTTGTGTTCATTTAGTGATTGCTATGATTATTTTAGTCATAGACGAGTCCAAACTTGATGTTCGGTTGGATACTGCGTACAGAAGCTTTAATGAAACTTCAACAGCATTTTTAAACAACCATGGCTTATCTTCACAGTAATTATAAACATAATATCTGATATAAAATTTTTAACTAAATTTATTTCTGTTTTATATTTTTTAGGGGACCTGCATCAAAGTTGATAGTAAAATTTTTCCTAGCTTTATGGTGTGCAGTTACAGGGGCTATGTTTGTATTTCCAGGAATACGAACGGCTAAAATGCACTGGGATTGTCTTAGGTGATAAAATTTAAAATCATAATTGATTGTAATGATATAATAACCTTTTATATTTTTTTTTTTTTTTTTAGATATTATGAATGCAATGAGGTGCATGGCAAATATTTTTCATATAGTTCAACTTTCATCAAAGGCTTTATGAATTTTAGTTTAATAACTCATTTTTTGCTTGTTCTACTTTGGGTAAAACCAATAGCAGTGGATTTATTGACTGCAAAAAATCTATCCGGATTAAATAAACCATTGTAAATATATTAAAACGGACATTTGACTGTAATTACTCATTGTTATTTTAATTTTATTTTTTATAGGATGACATTAGAACAATTTGAGAGCTTAAGATGTTGGATGGTAGTATTAGTGGTATTTCAAAGATTATATTTGATGCCTACTTTTATGCAAGCTTATCTTAATATGGCTCATGAGCGTTTGGAACAACAAAAAAAAGAAGCAGGAAGAATTACCAATAAAGATTTACAAAAACAAGTATAGTTCATTGATTTTTATTTAAAAATATCTCTCTGTTTAAATTTACCGTTTGACTTAATTTCAAGGTTTCTGTGATTTTTTACTACACGTGTGTTGTGGTACTACAATATGTCATACCGCTCGTAATGATGTTGTTCTTTATATTCTTTTATAAAACATTAGGTAAACAATTGTCTTTATGCATAACACAAATTATGTTCATATATTATAAACATTTTGTAAAACAATTTTTCAGGCAATTTCAGTTGGGTTGAAGTTATTGTGAACTCTTCTCCAACAATAGATGATAGTAATCAACATTCATTACTTGAAACTAACCAGGCATATTTTTCTATTCAGTCATTAAAACAAGTAAACAATATTGACATTTTTATAACTATAAATTGTACTATAATATTATAATCTATTAGGTATTAACAGCAGATGTTTACCGAGGAATATTTGGCTTTGCTACGTGGTGGATATGTTTTTCATGGTTTCTATCTTTATCTGTTGGCATATTCTATCAATCTTACTTATCACCTAAGTAATTCTCTAATTAAGTGTCTTGATTTTAAACATGTAAATACAATTCCTAAACAAAATTTTTGTAAGAAAACAAAAAGGTGATTTTAAGTGTTTAATAATAGACATATTATTATATAAAGTTTGAAAGTCAGTCAATATTATGAATATTTAGTTTAATAGTTTTATTTTTATTTAACAATTAAATTAATTGTATATGTTTAAAACATAAGTCAAACTTTTATATATTTTATGATGTATACGTTTGTTGGTTTGATAAAATGTAACTTGTTCAATATATTTTAATTTTAAACATTATTCAATTATTATTTAATACAAAATAAAATGCATAATATAAAAATATTTACTATTCAAATTTTAATAGTAAATACTAAATAATATTAGTATAATTTTAAACTGTGTACTTGTGCATTTATAGAAGTTTCATTAGCTGGACCAATCGCTAAAACTGTAATTTGATTGTTTTCAGTAAAAGTTGCTGTTGGAATGTCAAAAAACTTGCATTGCTTTTGAATACACTCTAATGTTTTTAAATCTGGTGCACGTAAAACAACTCTAGCACATTTAGAGGGTAAATTGCGCAATTTAGTTTTATTGTACGCAATAACTGATACAACTGCACACTAAAACAACCATAATTTATTCGATTAAATATATTTAATAATATAGAAATAAAGATGTACTTCAAAAACAAATTACTTCAGTAACTTATCTTTTTATAATTATTATATTAAATAAAAAAAAAATACACATTCATAAGTTAAACAATAATAATTGTTAATACACTTCGAGGCTTTGGGTGAATAAATCAATTTCTTCACTTTCAGCGGGCCCTATTGCCATCACCGTTTTAGACCTTGGTGCGACCTGTGTACGACCTGCGTCTACTACTACATGGGTAGAGAATCCTCTTTCTATGGCCAATTGCTGGAATTCTAACATAGTTTCTTCATCTGCTACCTTGAATATATTCACTGTTTTATTGTTTGATTCCCAGCTATTTATTTCACTTGGTTTTAACCTCAAGCCTTCTTCATAACAGTGCACAATTGCATGTGAGCACTACATAATAATACAATTTTACTTTGTAAAACACTGTTAGTTTTAGGAGTAGAATATCAGTTAAGTGGTTGATAAACACTATTAGTTTGATTATTTATAAAATAGTAAAAAACAAAATTTAAACTTAGACAAGTATATTATTTAGATTAGTTCAAGTTATCATTGACTATTAAAGTATTAAACCAATACCATTTTACCCCACCATAGGTTTCTACTCTGTTCAAAATGAGATCAGTTCCCGGCGACTAGTTTTTGTTTGCGACGTTCAGACGTCGTCCACACTATGGTGGTGCTTTGAGTTGACAAAGTCACGCTCATTTGCACAACTTGGTTGCCCGGTGGCAGGTACTGAGCTCATTTTTAACACACCACAGAGTATACTTATACACGGTAATCAATTATTATAACGACAATTGTTTCATTATTTTAATCATACCAATTAAAATTTTTCAAATTAGTATACAAAATAGTGAACATCATTAGGACATAACTTCGAAACAAAAACCGTGCGCCAAATTCTGACTTCACCATCGTTTTTAGCGTACTTAACTGCATAAGTTTCAAAAAAAAAAGGGTGTCCGGTAAAGTAGAAAAGTTCCTACAATATATTATATATATATTATATATCGGATGTCTAAAACTCCAAAACTCTGTAAGTGTGAAGAACTCAGATGGTCCTCCAAAGAGGCTGTGTAATGTTTTAAATCTTATACACTTAATAAATAATAATTAAATGATAAACTCAAAAGGATTATTACTAATAACTAGGGTCCGGATTTGTATGCATTTACATATTTATATTGTGTATATTATGCAGTTGATAGTTAATAGTAAATAGTGAGATGTCAGAAATATGGATGATTATGTATCTGTGTAGCAGAGATTTCATAGAAATTACATCTTAAATTGGACCAAACATTTCAGTATGGCTCTGCCATATACCCTCAGGAATCAGAAAAAATAATTACCTATATATAATTTATAATGAAACAAAATTTGTCTCCCCCCGAAAACCCCCTAAATTAGAGTAAAATACATACATTTTAAACAAAATTTAAATCATTTGAATTCTAAAATATAATTTAATTCAAATTGTCTCACTTGTGCTGCAACTTTGCCTTTGCCCATTTTCAAATCGTGACGAACCAATAATGCCATTTTAAATTCTCCTGTTTTATTTGGTATCGATGTGGGTTGTTGTTGTTGACTTTTACCCACACTTTTTGCATCTTGATTTGTACATTTAGTTTTAAAAGCATAACTAATGACCATATTAAGAGCCAGACCAATCAGTACACCGACGATTAATCCGTCATACATTTTATCACTTGTAAAACTCATTTTAAAGACAGTATAAAAATATCACCGGTACTTTTATTTAAAGTAAATAGGTATATGAAACATTTCAAAGCATAATTTATTAATATCATTCAACTTTTCTACAGCATAAACCGAATAATATACGTAAAATCTAAATCATGTAGAACTGAGAAGTTGAGAACATTACAAATTATATTATTTAGTCGCTGTCGTCCAATCCCCTAAATAATACAAATAGATACATAGAATTATTATAGGTGGGAACCAATAAAAATTCAAAAATTCAAAGGTGATTACTATTCGATTGTTGATAAAATTATGATGATAGTGTTTATCAGTATTATCATAGAACAATATCACGGACCATGAACATTAGAGGAAGGACGCCGAACTGTGTATATAAAAGTGGTCCGGAATTATCGCATTCCGCCAGAATGCGCGTCGGACCGTAATGATGTCGTTTTTACATGTACAGCATAGGGAATTTATTGGTTTTTTAATATTATATTCTAAATGGTTTAACTTATGAATAATTACTATAGAACATTTTTTTAAAACCAAATTGCCCTCGATCGAATATATGTGTTTCCAATAATATACGACTTTTATAAAAAAAGATATAGTTGTTATCTCTTTTTATAAAAGTCGTATATTATTGGAAACACTTATATTCGATCGAGGGCAATTTGGTTTAAAAAAAATGTTTTATAGTAATTATTCATAAATTTCACCATTTAGATTATAATAATAAAAAACCATTAAATGTCCTGTGCTATACAATATGTAAAAACGACATCATTACGGTCCGACGCGCATTCTGGCGGAATGCGATAATTCCGGACCATGTTTTTACGCTTCGTTCTGCTGTGTTCGGCGTCCTTCCTCTAATGTTCATGTCACGGACTTAGATAGTACTTATCTTAGTCCGTGAACAATATATTATTATCACGGAAGAATATAACCTTAAATAATAAATAGTTTGATATTTTTGAAGAATTATATAATTATATATATATATAATACATAAATACATATATACTTGTATCAGACGTAGTACCTAATATTATTACTCTATGACCTAACCAAAGCGGTTTTGGAGTGGTATACGGTGGTAACAATGCATCAATAACGATATCCTAAATTTCCCAAATCCTAAATCGGATATCCAGCTATCCAAACTCCAACTTCCGAGTAAAGTAGTCAACTGACAACTATAGTAAACAGTAAACACCTAATACTAATCAAATTTCGAAATACAAATTTTTTTGAAATACCTAAGTTAATCCAGCGTAACTTATAGTTTAGTTAAAAATGTTTAACAATTTAGTTTACGTGTTGTAATTTTCAATACAATAAATTTAATATTAAAAAGGTTTTAAAATAATATTCTCATTTCTCATATTTTTAACGATATATTATAAATTAGGTAGAGCAATATGTCCAAAGAAGTAATGATCACTGCTCCCGCAACACCAGTTCAACAAGGCTTGTTCAGAAAACGAAGCAGTAGACCAGTGCACATCAAATCATGGACCATCATGTTGAACAAAAATGGGTTTGTCCGGTGTCATCTTCAGCATTGCCGATACATAGCTTATTGCATAGACGACATGAGAGAGCATTTCAAAACATGCCGGGGTGAAGTAGCCGGAAATTTTGTGTGCCCGACGTGTGGTGGTCAAACAACGTCGCAAGAAGCACTTGATTATCATAAACGAAACAATCATAAAGATTCTGATGTAATGTCAATTATTATAAAACCCACTCTCACTGAGATACAATTATCATTGTGGTCAACCGATATCAAGACTCGTGGATACACTCAATGTCTCATGCCTGATTGTCATTTTATTAGCTATAAAATTTCTGAGCTTGAGCAACATTATGAAAAGTGCCTGGGTGAAGATCCAGACACATCGTCTAAGTTTTTATGTCGTCATTGTAAAGGTTATACATCGTCACAACAAGCTCTCCAATTCCATCAAAACAATCACCATAAAGATTTACTGTTTCCAATAAAACAGGTAGGATTGTGTATTTTTTTAAATTATAATCAATACCTTCTACCTTCTATAAAATGATATATCTATGTCCTATTTACAATCTTACTAATTATAAATTAACAATTTAAATTATAGTTGTATTTTATTTTAATTTGTTTGGTCCACACAAGTCATTTATCCATTAAATTTTACTATTTTAGTTCCTGCAATGTCTACGACATAAAGAATCTGAAATGTGTTTCATATTTTATTCGCTTGTAAGATCAAATTATCTAACATTTACCTAATTTGAATATTTCTAAAAAAAATTCCCTGTATTTGTAATTAAAATAACTATGACGGTAATCAATCTAAAAGTACCAATATACTTATGTGAAATTTATTGTTATTTATTTCAGGAAAGTAAAGATGATTTTGATGAAGATAATAAAATTAAATCTTACCCAATGGGTCAGTATGGACATCCAACCTCAAGTACTACAAATCCTTCTAGCAAAATAGTAACATATTCTCAATGGAAAATGCAAGAAGATTTAGCCGACACAGAATCTATCTGTTCTGAGGTAAATGTTAACAATCCAACTGAAGCTCAAATTAAAGAATGGATAATAGGTTTAAAAAATGGTTATGTTCATTGCAATCACAATTCTTGCAAATACATGTCATTTGATGTGGACGATATGAATGATCATTTTGCTACATGCTTTGAACCATATCTTGACGATGAATTTGAATGTTCAATTTGTGGAGGTAAGACCACATCATCAAATAAACTAAAAACTCATCTTTTGCACCATCATGAAGAAGGTTATAAACACTTAACAGAGGAGGAGTGTGGTTTTAAATTAGTTGAAACTGAAGATGGCCTAGAGTTGCAGTCTGAAAATAAAGAACCTAAAAAACGTAAAACTGAGGAGGTAGATGATGAATACGAGGAAAAACATTCTGTCAAACGAAAGTCATATGATATACCTTATAACCATTTAACTAAATGGCGTGATGAATTGCTACGTAACAAATTTATAAGGTAAGTCAACATATTATCATTTTATCAATTTATTGTATCAATAATTCTAATTTATTTATTGTTGTTAGATGCACTGCTGCAGATTGCAGTTATTTAGCTTTGGATATGTTAGAAATGAAACAGCATTCAGATGAACATGTAGATAGTGTTTACTGGTCATTTAAAGATCGTAATTTAGAAGACAGAGTAGCAAACTACTGTGATGCATGCAATGGACATTTCAAAACCATAAAACATTTAGATGGCCATAAATTAGTATCACATAATAGTAGTGATACTTCTAATATAGATAGCTTGTTAGTAGAAAACAATGAAGAAAATATTGAAGATGATGAAGAAATTGAAGAAATTTTTTAAGTATTAATTTTGATCCAATTTGATATTCTCACATACCTACATTAAGATTGTAAATGCACATTGTGTGTTCAATTTAATCTCATATAGGCCAAAAGTTCAATATTATACCATTATTTTACTATTAAACTTATTTATGTTCATTTCATGTATCTTATTATTATTATTTTTTGTCAGTTTTGTAGTTTCTCAAAAACCAAAAACTAAACCAGATTTTGATAATTTATATATTTAATTTTTTTATAGCTTCAATTGTCTATTCAATTGTTTTTAATTATGCTGTTTGTTAGGAATCATGTTAGTTTCTTCAACCAATCGCTTAGTACATAACTTTTGTAATTATCGAAACCATATTAATAAAATATGCATTGTACATTTTGTGTCTGATTATAAATATTTTGTATTGTTCTAAATAAATGCAGAGTAATTTGTATAACCTATTACAATAATTTTCACAGTTAATTTGTGATATTTAAAAAAAAATATTAATTATATTGTTTTTTAAATAATTTTTAACACTTAATTTCTGTACAAATTATTTTCAAAATGATAAAAATTGACAGAAATTGTACTTAGAATGTATACAATTTATAAATCAGTAAATTATGATCTAATTTTATAATTTCTTGTGTAAATTATTTAATTTGATCACGGTAAGATGATACAACAGTTAATAATAATAAACAATCAACAATAGCTAGTTAACCATACTGAAAATAAACATGTTTTTTGGTACCAATGGTAGTGTAATAGCTTTCTTTACTATAATTATTTGATTTTCATTAATTTAAGCATTGTTAAAAAAATTCAAAATACCAATTATGTTATGTGGTTATTTAAATTGTAATTATTGGTACTTTTCTGTCATCGTGCCTAACAACCATAATACATACAGAGACCAGGATATTGTGTCACTCGCTCACTGCGTTTGTTCGAACAATTTAAATCGAAAACCTCACTCGATTTGTTATGATATAAAACCGTCTTGAGTGGGTCTCATAATAACCTTAACCTTACCGTGGAGGTATGTTTTAGATATAAATTTTCTGATCAAATGCATCGAACAAATGACCACGTCGCTCTCGGGTCTATATTATATGCTTTTAAACATTTTATCTTTACTCGAAGATCTAACCCAAGGTGCCACGTTTTGACTGTAGTGTTCATACAAAATCGAGGGATGTTTTTGTTTTAAATTATCCGAGCGAGTGACTCTGACGGGTCTATATCTGGTAATAGCGATAACCGAAATGAACCTTATTTATTTATATAATCAGTGAAAAAATTTCACATCGTTTTGTTAAATCATATTTCTACCGCATCGTCCACCACATATAGTGCTCTGACTAGCTTTCCAGTGTAATTTTGCAATTTCCAATACAAAGTACAACAAATCAATGTATTTACACAAAAATTATGCTTACACAATTTTACACATACAGAATATCGTCCGTCATCCATACACAATTGATTTGATGCACACATTACACAAATTGGTAATTGGTAGGTATGTTACCCTACGTAAAGCATGTTGACAATCTACTGACTAATCTACAATTGTAAATCGTGTAGTTTGGGTCAGGCAATTTTCACCAATTATTTACCTATATTGGTTGCAGTGTTGGGAAAGTTCCTTTTAAAAAGGAACTCGTTCCCGTTCCTCGTTCCTACTGTAAGAAAGGAACTCGTTCCCGTTCCTCTTTCCTGTCCCGAAAAAAGAACGCGTTCCCGTTCCTTTTTAAAAAGGAACGCGTTCCCGTTCCTTCATGTTCCTTTTTTTGCAATTTGAGTGGTGGTCAATGGTATATTTTGCGAACAATTTTTAAGTCAGAAATAATCGAACCGAGAGAGTTAACCGATTATTTCTGACTTAAAAATTTTTCGCAAAAAACACCATTGACCACCACTGAAATCGGTTAACTCACTCCTTTCTAGGAGCACCGATTTTTAACAAAAATGATTTGTCATAGATTTTTTTGTTATAATTCAAAAGTTGTATAGCGTAGACTTTTTTAGATTTTTTTTTTCATTATTTGAGGAACGGAAATTTTCGTTCAAGTTCCTTCAAAATAGGAACTCGTTCCCGTTCCTCGTTCCTATATTTTAAATGGAACGCGTTCCGAGCTTCGTTCCTATAAAAGGAACGCGTTCCTTCCCAACACTGATTGGTTGACGGAAAACATAAAAAAACCAGAACAGAATAAAAACTCCAATGAATAAACACACCCTGATAAAAAAGCCCACTGAAATAAAAGTCCACATGAGTACCTACCATACAATTATACTATTTTTATTACTCTACTGTTGATAAATATTTTGAAATTTTATGAAAAGTAAAGACGTTTTCTTAGTTTGGTACAATGGAGTTGTTATACATATACCTAGGTAGGTACTCGTATAGTTGTATCTAATATCAAAACCTAAAACCATTACATAGATATTATGATACAACTTGAACAACGAAAAAGAAACGTAAAGCTCATATAGGTACAAGGCCGGATTGGCCAAATTAGGCCCACCGAGTTTTCCGTACTTAATACAAACTGGCGGCCATTGTGGACGTTCTTATTCTGTGCATTGTTTTTTTTTATTTTATTGTCTCCATTTCTTCAACCTTTAACTTTTAACATATTTTAAGTCGGTGCGGCCCCTCATGACTTGAACGGCCGAAAATTGTTACGGCCCACCGAGTTTTAATCGGTAACTCGCCGAACCAATCCGGCCATGGGCCTGAGCTCATATAATTTAAGTTTTGAAGCCAATTTAGAGGATGAAATGGAGAATTGTTAATTTAATGATGAACTGTATATTTTTTCGGTGGTTTTTCTGTGTGTATTTTTTCCGTGATTCGTGTGTATATTAGCAATTTCTAGAGTCGATATAAATATATTATAATTGTCATGATATTTTCACTATTTTTAAGAAATTTAAAGTCATTCGACATTCACATTTTTTGGGAGGTTCCTCATAAGTCAGGACTTTTCAACCTTGTTAGTCAGCGGGCCACCTATTATTTTTAACAAATCTTGATGGCCGCATTTGTAGTTAATAAAAACTTGTACTTATTAAATTATAAAAATCTATTAAAAAATACATACCTAGGTAGATTGTAGGTACTAGAAAATAAATACAAGGGCTGAAGGGCCTCAAATAAAAACAAAGGAGGTGGTGGGTAGTGGGTTAAAGATCCATGTTGTATATTTTTACAGAAATTAATAAAACATCGAAAATACAGTCACGCATTTTTTTTTAGCCTTGGAAGTTTAAATTTTACAAAAATGATTAAAAAATGATAAGTATATAAGGTAGTTAGAAATAGGTAGGTACTTACATAACATTTTTAATTTTAATAGATGTCTAAGACTTAAAATGTTATATTTTTTAAATGAGTAGGTGCCGTAAATCAAATTATATTTTTACTAGGGTTTGAAGATAGACATTAGATAATAGATACCGTATATTCAACCGTAAATTAACAAATTCTCATATCTCTACCTAACGATTTTCTTATTTTGTTGCTATTCAAAAACTAATACTTAGGGCCGTTCTTACGACGTCCGGTTAAAGTTAACCGACACTTAACCGGAAGAATTCTGCCGGTAATAAAATCTGTTATCAGTCGGTTAGCGTTAACCGACACTTTACCGGACATTGTAAGAACGGCCCTTAACCGTATAGATACTTGAAATATACACTAAATGTTTATTTTATCATTTCAAAATATTTTGACTCGTTTTGAACTGTTAACGGATATTTTCAATTTTTTTAGTTTTTTTTCTATAAATTATATTATATTAATATTTATGGGGTGAACAAATTGTGAAGAACTCATGGACCAGGTCCATGTGAGCTTTGCCCCCTCCCATTCTTTCATAGATATTCGTTATAATAAGTTAACACTAAGTAGGTTTATAATTGATTTTCAGAGTAGATAGGTACTTAAGCCCTCTTGGCAGTTGGCACCCATCTATGGTTGTGCAAAATGCCAATGGTAGTAATACTAACAAAAAGAAAATTATCAATTCACATTTCTCAATACTGCAAATTACAATGCATTTTACAAATTATAAATATTAAGGACTAACGTTATAATTTGGCTTTAAAAAGCATTATATGAAAACGAATAATAGGTACGTAAGATATAAATACTTTTTTTAATTTTTAGAAATAACTTATGACTCTTATGAGAAATCTTGTGTTGAAATTTCAAACATTACCTAGGTGCAAAAAATAAAAAAATAAAAAAAAAACTTACCTTGGGTATCACAAATATTTACTATCCAAAAGTACCAAAAATGATCCAAAATATTTTGAAAATTATATCATGTCTAGTAAATGGTAATATGAATATTTTATAAATTCATAAATTTCAACAAAAAGACAAAATCGGTTTTATCAAAAACTGGTTCTGCATAAACAATCCTGTTTTTTTTCTAATTTTTGTTTGTTTTTCTAGATTATTTTGAAAAATACTATGCATTTACTATTAGTCCCACTTTTTTTTTATTCCGTTCAAAAACAAGGAACAGATGGGAACTGTTCACCACAATACTGCACCAAAAGTATAGTCCCCTATTAACCAACTAGATCCAATTTGCTATCAAAAACCAGTCAATCACGATCATATTAATACCTATGTATGCTTAATTACGTATATGTTAATAAGTCGATAACAATAATATGACAAAATAAAAGGATAACAAAAATGTTTTGAGATAAATCTTTATTTAACGTTTGACAATCCAGTCGTCAAAATTTAAATTTCAATAGGTCTTTAAAAATGTTTTTGGCTTTACGCTAAACTTTAAATTTCAAATAACATACGAGGGTTCAAAATACGTATTTTCAAGAATACACGTCTTACCACACTAGCTTTACTCTTTGAAAAATTTGGTAGGAAAATACTAAATAGGTTCCCGGATAAATAATTTACACGATGAAAAGTTGTGATAAATTATACAACCAATCAAAACCTATACAGATAAAAAAAAATGTTCAAGAAA